TCACCTCGTCGGACACCGTGAGCGTTAGGTCCCTTTTCAGCTCCCCTTCGAACCAGGTGACGATGTCGGTGGTAGAACCGATGTAGAGCAGGTCGTCGACGTAGACGATGAGCAGAATGTAATCTCTTCCCTTCTGTAGTCGGTACATGCCTTGGTCATGTGGTAACTGTAGGAATCCGATTTTTACGAGCCGGCCGTGAAGGTGCTGCTGCCAGAGCCGTGGGGCTTGCTTGATCCCGTAAAGGGATTTTTCCAGCTGGCATACTTTTGAAGGGTCGTCGATGAATCCGTGGGGTTGTTCGACGAAGATTTCGGCGTCCACAGGTGCGTACAAGAAGGCGTTTGCAACGTCGATTTGCCGTAGTGGTAGTTTCTTCGTGGCCGCGATGGCGAGTAGGATGCGCAGGGAGGTGTGACGGGAGACTGGAGCGAAGGTTTCTGTGTAGTCGGTTCCGTATCGTTGATCGAAGCCTCGTACGACCCATCGAGCTTTGAATCGTTCGATGGAGCCGTCTGAGTTGGTCTTGATGCGGTACACCCATTTCCCCGAGAGAATGTTCTTCCCGTTGATGCTCGTTGCAGGTACCAGTTTCCATGTTTCTCGGTCTTGCAGAGCTTTTAACTCTTTTTCCATCGCTTCCTTCCATTGTGCCTTATGTTCCCCCCCCAGAGCCTGCGACAGGGTCGACGGCTCGCGCGGAGAAGGCGGCGGCGGGTGCTGGACGGAGACCCATAGTCCTAGGATCTGCAGTCCCGTGGCTGTGTGTCGAGGGGAGTTTTCATTCTCGGGATAAGCTGCTTCATCACCGTCTTCAGGATCGGGTAAGAAGTTTGGCCCGATGCGTTCGGAAATATTCGAGTCGACGGGGTGTGGTGTAGCGTAGCCTTGGTCAGCGAAGTGGTAAAAGGTGTCGAGGTTGTTGCTATCGAGGGGATTATCTTCATCGAGTGGAACAGGTACGGAGCAGTAGGGGAGTGGTCCGGCAGCCTCCGAGGCTCCAGGGACGTCTTCTTCTGCTGCGTCAGCTTCGGCAGCATGGTCAGCGAAGGAGCGAAGGCCCGCGAAGCCGTCGGTGGGTCGTCTGAGTTGGCAATGTTGTCCAGGTAATGCTGCAGCGTCAGTCGCTCGTAGAGATAACATCACGTGATGCCACCGTATTTTTGTCGTGTATGTCGAGAATCTTCCACGCGTGAAAATGTTTGGCGATGCCGAGGTGTAGTCCCCACCGAGCTCGTTGAGTGAAGCGTCCTGCTCGAGCTGTGTGGGGTCTGTATTGTACCATGCAGCCGAAAACTCGAAGTAATTTTGTGCTGCCCCTTTTTCCCGTCCACAGCAGGTGCGGTGATGCGTTGTTGGGGAGCGATGACGAGGACAACAGGTTGTGCAGGTGGACTGCATGTGTCATCGCGTCTGGCCACAGTGTATTGGGCAGTCTCATCCCCAGGAGCAGCTTTCGCATCGTCGTCTGCAAGGTCCGGTTCATGCGTTCGGCGACCCCCTGCTGCTGGTGAGCGTATGGTAGGGACACCAGGCGCTTGATTCCTCTTTCCGCCAGATAGGTCCTGAAGCGTTGTGACTGGTATTCTAGGGCACCGTCTGACTGGAAGCTTTTGAGCTTGGTTCCTGATTCCCGCTCGGCGATGGGGAGCCATGTTGTGAAGGCGTCGAAGGCTTGATCGCGCGTCTTGAGGTTGTAATGCCAAGTGTATCTTGTTGCTGCATCGACGAAGGTGATGACGTAGTTGAAGTCGGCTTCCGTGTCGTCTCGAGGCATGTTCAAGATGTCGCTGTAGACTTTTTCCATCGTTGCATATGCAGGCGCGCTTGGATTATGATGGGATGGGAAGGGTTGATGAGGAAGATCTGCTTCGGGGCACGTGAAGCATCGTGCTCTTGGTCGGCGAAGTTCTTGGCCGCTCGTCGTTAGAAGGGCGTTACGTTCTAACACCTCTGCTTGGATTGTTTGAAGTATTGTGCTGTTTGCAGGGTGTCCGAGGCGTTGGTGCCAGATGTCGTCGGGAGCACGGTGACCGGGCGAGCGGTGGTAGATGTCGGCGTTGGAGAAGAACGCGACGACCGAGGCGGGACTTCGACAAGCTTCTCGTGTGGCGGGCATAAGTTGGTCTGCTTCCGTTGGCGGTCCTCGTGTTGATGGTGGTGGTACTCGGCTGGGTCCTGCTGCCGATACTGCAGGTGATGGTTTTGTTGGGACACTTGCGGGTACTTGTCTTTCTTGTCTGATAACTGCTAATGCTCGTGTTCTCTCTGCTGCAGGTATGGTGTTGGAGTGCCAGAAGCCGTCACTGTCGAAGTCGGGATCAAGATCCGGCGGGTGAGTCCAGGCGGCGAACGATACGATGCCATCGCTGTCGGCAGTTCCGCGGTCGGGGACGAAGTCCAACACGAAGACACCGGACTTCAGGAGGGCACGACCGATGAAGAGGCCGCCCTTCCCGTGGTAAAGTCGGAACTCGTTGGAGAAGGAGTCGCACTCCAGGTGAATCCCCTTAGCCATTAGTTGGCTTACGCTTAGTAGGTTGTATCCCAGATTGTCGACGATGAGGACTTTGTTGAGCTGAAGAATAACGTTTGTCTCCATTGATTGTAACTGAACCACGCCTTGTCTGTTTGTTTTCAGGTTTTCGTTGTTGGCGACGGTGATGACGACGTCGCGGTTGAGGCGTCGCTCGTGTTGTACGAAGCGTCCGGAGGAGCACATGTGCTGACCGCAGCAACTGTCCAAGAACCAGGTGTTCCGCCCGGTGGGTTCGGCGTTAGCGACTGCAGCGTATGTCGGGTTGACCTGAAGTCCTTGCGAGCGCGGCGGCGGGAATTCCTCTTCGTCTGGTGCGTAAGTGGGTGGTGAAGCGGGTGCGCAGTTGTCGATGTGTACCATGCAGTTGATGATGTTGGGTGTTTGTTGTGCAGATGTTGAAGAGCGCCTTGGAGGACTTGCTTGAGTGGAAGCGACTTGTGGGTCTGCTGCACGGTAAACGCGAGGGCGGTTGCAGTTGACCTTGGAGTGCCCGGAAGTCTGACAGTTGTGGCAGAACGGCGGCACGATGGTGAGTCCTCGGTTGTCGCGTTGATCTTGCTTGCTGCGTCGGTTGTAGTTGTTGTCATTTCTTCTTTGAGTGTAGAAGACTAACTGCTGTTGCTTCCTTGGTTGTCTTTCCTCGAACAGATCCATCTCCTGTTGTTCAGCGTGAAGCTCGGCGCAGAGGTGCATCTCCGAAATTCTTCCGTGGGCTCGAAGAAGTGATCGTGTGGTTCTCCATTCTGGCCCGAGCCCGGCGAGGACAAGTGTTACGAAGCTTTCTTCAGTGATCGTTCCTCCGCACCGAAGCAGGCGGTCGCGGAGGGTCTGGCAGCGACTCATATACTGCATCGCCTTTTCCCCGGTCTTCATCTGTATTGTTGTCAGCTGTTGCATGAGTCTGCTTTGTGTCACGCTGTCGTTTGCTTGGTAAAGGCACTTGAGGTGGTGCCATGCGAGCTCCGCGGAGTTTCCATAACTCCGATACGTTCTGATGCTCTGCTGCTCTTGTGGTGACAGGTTTCTCAGGAGTACCGTGTACGCCAGCAGCGACTGATACGTGAAGATCTCTTGTTCCTTCCCAGTGCCGTTGCTTGGGAATGGCAGGGACCCGTTGAAGTATCCCAGAAGATGCGCGGCCTCCATCAGCAGCTCGAACTCGAAGCTCCAGGTAAAGAAGTCGTGTCCGTTGAACGGTGAGGATGTCTGAAGTTTGATCACGTGTGAGAACTGCGCCTGTAAACTTAAGATTTCATTCGGTGTTTGTTGTGATGCAGCTGCTGTTGGCTGGGCACGGGGCGGCATGAATTCGAACGTCCCCGGCGAAGAATGATAAGGCGCAAAGGTAGGCGCTTGGTTGTGTCGCCCGAAGGATGAGTTGTCGAGGCTCATCGGCGCTAATCCCATATTCCCTCCATTGCTCTGTGTTGAGTGCGCAGGTGTCCTTGTCTGCTGCTGCTGGTCGAAGTGTGACATGAAGCTGAAGAATCTCTCCATGAGATTCGGGTCCACACTTGAAGAGGGAGACGGAGTCACCATCTCTGGTACTCTTCCCGTTGTTTCTTGAGTAGTCCCGGTCTCTGTCTGCAGTCCTGAGGTGTGCAGACCAGAGTTGCCGTGTTGAGTTTCTTGGGCGCTGGGTGAGCCCGTAGAGACTTTCTTGCCCTTGTTGTCCATGTCTTGTAATCAATGGAGTTGTTGAATCAAGTTGAGTTGCAGGTCGTTGATGGAGCGTAGTTGCTGGGAGTTTGGTCTCTGACCAGCTCTCATACCATGTTGGGTTGAGAAAAGCCCTTAGGATCTTTTGCAGAGACTAAGTCCCAGCTTGTAGAGACTTGAGACTTGGAGTAGTGCAGCGGAAATTGAGACAGTTGAACCCTTGTACTAGTATGTGAGAACAAGTGATTGATTAAAGAAACAAGCATACAGCAATATATAGAAGATAAGAAAGCAGTTGCAGAGTACAGTTACAGGAACGGTTTATCGAGTCGCATAGCGACTCGATTGCCGCTTCGGTTACCATCCGTGATGCTGTAACGGTCAGTCGCAACCTCCAGTTGCGACCCTTTGAGTCCCAGACCCTTCGTGTTCTTTGTCCGCCCCCTTGTGTAACCTCCGTTGACTCGCGTACCCCTTGCAATCTTCCTCGAGTGTAGTGTTACACTTCAGAAACGCTTAAGTCTTTTGATGTACTTTCAACAGACTGTATAGGGTTACCGCTTAGAGGGTACAACACTTAGGTATATTTGTGTGTACTCTCATCTTTACTATTATTCAATTATTCTGATACCCTTATCTAGCCTAGGGGGTCTGTCAACATATACATATTATCTATGTAGAAGTTATAGGCTAGGCTAGATGTGTGCTTCTAGTGAGTACAACCAACTAGTATTTTTTCTGTGTTTCCCTTATTAGGCATCATTTCGTTCTTACAACGATTGAACCTCATGGTGCAAAAGAAGCCTACCAATATGTAATCAAGATAAGGGAATACATTCCTAAGACAGTCACAGTGCTGGAAGCAAAGAATGATATGATACATGGCTATGTACATTGCTTGCCAGGCAAAGCAGGAAAAGAGAGCAACAAAGCCACACCATTCCATCAGCTTGGCTGACTGGTGAGCCTTTCCACACTTCTCTGGTCTGAGGTAGGCCCGTATTACTGACCACCACAAACACATGGCACCTGCAGCAGCGCACATCTGTGGCACCCACATGCAGACATAACCACTCAAGCAAAGCGCCTGCTAGCACTGATGCCAGTTGCCGGCATCTGAGAAAGCAGCAGCAGCAGCAGAAGAGCAAGAGACGTGTGGGCCGTTGGGCGAGGCAGAGGCGGAAGCTGGTGCACCAACCTAAGAGCACCAAGGTGCTGCTGTGCTGGACGGTGCTTGAGGCGCAGAGGATGCGGCTTCAAGCCCCAAAAGAAGAGGCGAAAAAGAAAAACCACAGAAGAGGGGAGTGGTTGGCACTGTGGCCGGGATCCGCAACTGACGGCACCCACGACGTGTTGATGCAGGCACGAAGTCACATCAGCGTCGCGTTAGTGGCTGGAGGCATCCGAGTCTTGCATCATCCAGGGGTGACCTGGCAGTATCAATTGACAAGGACGAACAGAAGCAAGGCAGAGAAACAGTAAGGATGACAGCCAGAGGAGGAGCTACAGCAGAGGTGGATTGTGAAAAAAGAGCACAAATGAACAGCAGAGGAAGCATTACAGTCGGAGGAAGCAACACAGCAGGAGAATAGCATGCCGGCACATACACAGGACGTCACGAGCTGAGGGTCGCTTGGTGACATCGCGGGTGAGCACGAGGGCGAGCAGGTCCTTGGCCTCAGGCGACAATGACTGCAGAGGCGGAGAGGTCAGGTCCAGAGGGGCCGACGCCACGGCTCTGAACACGTCCATGATGGTAACTGCCATGAAACACATCGAAGGGAAGGGGGAGAGGGGAGAGAGAGCAGGTTCAGGAAGGCTGGTGAGGGGAAGCAGGAGGTGGTGCAGGAGACGGACTGAGCAGCGGAGGAGTGGGGCATAGGAACAGTGGAAAGCGGAGAGAACTGGCCTGGGCAAATTGTTGCAGCATATTCCTATCAGCATATCCCTGCTCCGCATACTCCTGCTCACCTCCATCGAAGGGCACTCTGCCAGCGAGCAGCAGGTGCAGCAGCACACCCGCACTCCACACATCCGCCCCGGGCCCGTACCCTCCTCCCCCGCGCACTCTCAGCACCTCAGGCGCCACGAAGCACGGGCTCCCTGCCACCTCGTGCAGCCGCTTGTCTGCCAGGGGGACCGTGGGGAGGGAGGGAGAGACGGCAGGGAGACGATGAGGGTGGAGCCATGGCAGGAATGGGGGGAGAAAACGAAGCCTGGGAGGGGGAGTGGGGCAGATGTGCAACTTCAGTGGCAGGGATCAGGATGATGGCGACGCTAAGCAGAGGCCCTGCTGCACCAGCGACGTTACTCCCAACCAAACTGTAAGAGCCAGTCAAGGCTAGAAAAGCCAAAGGCGACGGAGCTGGGGTTTTGGGTTCCATGAGGGGGATGGCAGAACCTGGGGAGTAGAAGGTGGCGAGGCCGAAGTCAATGGCGACGAGGGGAGACGCGGGGTCGTTGGAGAGGAAGATGAAGTTGCAGTCCTGCACATAAAATCCGAGAGAGAGAGCAGATTGTATATCAGGCGCCGACGCTTGAACGCTTGACTTCCAAGCCACGAGGCACTGCGACACCTGCGACCCGTGCGATCCGTGCGATCCGTGCAAAGCACAGAGCAGGCCCCCTCACCTTGACATCGCGATGCACGATGCCGCGGTCGTGGCAGTACGCCAGCACGCCCACCACCGACCGCATCACTCGCGCTGCCTCCCGCTCGCTCATCGTGCCCTGAGACATGGACGGGAGGGGTGCACGCACGACACGCTTAAACCAGCGACCTAGAACCAATTTCCACGTAAACCCCAGCCGTGATCGGTGTGGGGCCTTAGAGCACAAGCGATCCGAACTGAGCTTAAGTCGCGCCGAATGTCAGTACTCGAAGTGCAAATTGGCGTCAGGAGTCGACTTGTAACGGTCACTGGGGTGTACCTTTTGTGCGATGCGGTCCTTGAGGCTGGGTCCTTGGCAGAGCTGCATGACGATGTGCGTGTGCTGCGCGTCGTCCACCACGTCGTACAGCCGCACCACGCCAGGGTGGCCCTGCAGCCGCTCCAGCACCTCCACCTGCACGACACGCACACACACGGAAAGCGGATACCGGATATCCGGTACCGGATACAGGGTACGGGCAGAGAGAATACGGACGATGCGGCTCAGTATTGGCGAATTAGTGGCGGGTTTTACCGAATTAGCGGGTGAGCTCTTCTCACGGGTTGTGGCATACCTCCTTTTTCGCCGTTGCGCATCGTTCCAGATTCGCGGGGGCTCCACCTCCCTCGCTGCTGCGGCTGTTGCTGCCGCTGTCTCGGCTGGTGCTTCTGCTGCTGCTCGCAGCGCTGCTGCTGCTGCTGCTGCTGCTGCCGGCCGATACGAGGCGTGGCAGGTCGACCTTGGCGATCGACTTGCATGCGAATCGTTGAGCGACCGTTGCGACACCGCCAGCGATCAACTCCTGCGACAGCGACGGCGACGGCGAAGATGCTGGCGACGGCGAGCAGACGCCATTGCTGCTGAGGCCAGGTGACAACGCCTCAAATCCAAATGGAGACAAGGGCGAGGAGGACAAGGGAGACATGGAGGAGGAGCAAGGCAGCGGCGAGGAAAAGGAGATAGATTGCTCGGGTTGCTCCCGAATGGACTGCTCCTTCGGCCAGCATACGCGCACGGAACCGTGCTTCCCTGACCCCAGCCACTTCCCCAGGTGGTATTTCGCCTCCAACGAGCCTTCCGCCTCCGCCGCTTTCGCAGCATCGGCCATCTTAGAATACGCACCCCTCATCAGAAGCTTCTGCTCAATCTTGCGGGGCTGGCTGCCATCTCTTAGCGACCTAGGCTTAGCGTTGCGGCCCTTACCCGCCACATGAGGCGACCCATCAGAACCGCGACCCTCGTCCGCAGTCTTAGCGTCTTCGCCGTCCTTCAAGCCGTCGACTTTCTTAGGCCGGCGATCGGCGGTCTTGGCATGGCGCTGCGCGAAGCGAGTGACGCGGTGGTGCGAGTACTTGGACGTGGACGCGTCGATGCGGAGGTTCTCGTCGGTCGCCCACACGGCGGAAGCCGCGGAGCACGAGTTACCCATCGCGGCAGGCGGCGGTGGCAGCGGCAAATGCTAACGGCAGGAATGGTCGTGTCAGGAGGGTGAGACCAATCCAGTAGCCATCGTGAGAGGAATGACGGGTATGTCAAGAAACATCTAGATCGTAAGTGGCGTCGTTGAGCCGTGGCGAGCAAGGTGGAGGAGAAACGGTTGTAGCCAACAGTAAGCAGCTCCAGATTGCTACCAAAGACGATACTACGATCCAGTAAATAGACCGAGCAACCACACTCGTGTCCAGATGCTCGGCTTACCCGTGTCTCAGCCCTCGTCACCACTCACCAGTCACTGCTTGTCAGTGCTGGCCTGTTACTCGCTCTCGTGGTAGGTGGGCTGGTCTCAAGAGTGGTGCGCTGTCCCAGCGATTTCGCCGAGCTTCAGGGTGGGGGAAAGGCAGGGGGGTGAGGCGCAAGGCGAGGCTGCGCTTGGGGCAGGAAGTCCGTCAAGCGGAGGGGACATCGAGCTTACCTGAGTTTTTGCAAAAGATTACCTGTCTGAGTGTGGTTCTGTACACCAAGTCGTCTTCCCCTGAACAAGGATACGTCAGGTGCTATAAGAATAACCTTTATGATAAAAGCTTTGCACCGGATAATGATGTTTTTGCGGTAACCGTGCGCCGGACTCTTTGTTCCGCGCGCCAGACTCTTTGTTCCGTGCGGCAGATGGCGGCAATGGTCTGTGGTCGGGGGATGTGACAGCCCCCAGGCCAATCACGCGTTTCCTCCCCTCACCTGAGCTGCTTCTTTGAGCCTTCGCAATGAACTGTGGAGTACAACCCGCAAAAAAAAAACGCGATTCTTGACTCTCGATGCATTGGGGGGAGCTTCTTTTGCGGGGCAACCCATGTTTCATGTGGGCACTCGGCAGGGGGAGCGCCACAGGTGTCTGCCCCAATCGCAAACAAACTTTCCACCAGGGAATATTCCTAGCCGCAACGTTCCCTGGTTAGGGATGGGCGGGAGACGGGCTAGCTGACCTCGAAAGTTCGAGCACTCGTGGAAGGATCTCAGCCTGACTAGTGATGACGCAGCAATTCACTCACCTTCACCCACAGCACTCCACGTGTTGAAAAACATTGTCAGACAGGCAGACGGTCGCCAGGATCAACGAGCCGCAATGATTCCAGCCAGCCACAAAAAGGCGGACCAATGGATAAGCTGCCTCGGATCTGACCTGTCAAAGGCCCCTGTCTGAGGTCCCAAGACGAATCTGACCTGGACCAGGAATCCCTGCAGTGACTACGACGAGGGAGGCCAAGAATCGCATCATCCTATCACTTCGTTCTCCACTTCAGTGGATCAGAGTGGCGAAAGTAACAAATCTAGTACCGTTTCGGGTTGTAACAGATGAGGTAAGGCCTGGGTTTGCTTGAACTAAATTTACTATTTAGGAGTATGTTGGTCTCACAAAATCATATGGTTACCGCAAGGTCTGGCTACCCTCCTCCTCATCTGCGTCGTCCACGTCAGGCACGAACAATACATGGTCTATGGGGTTGTTGGCTGCATCATATGCTGTCCACGACAACAAATGGGCACTCAAATCCACCCGTACATAGTGATGGCCCAAATGAGTCACCTGGGGTTTGGGAGGGAGAGAAAAGACAAGAGTGACAATCTGTAGAGCCTCAAATTGCACGACACATCCAGCTCTGCTGCCAGCCCGTTCCACAAGCATTCAAACACCACCGATCAGAAAGATCAGTAGCAATTTTCATTCAACCCATACCAGCTGCCCTCACCTTATACATGCCCCAGTCCGCAACTCGTTGCTTGTCAATGCGCTCGCCACCTCCCCCGAGGATGGCGTACATAACTCCATTCCGCTCGCCCCGTTGGTACGCGTGCGAGTGCCCACTAACCACCAGATCCACATGATACTTCTCAAACAGCGGAACCCACTCTAGCCTCACCCACTCAGTCCGCCTCCGCTCCCCCCCACCACCAACCCAATCCTCACCACTCCCCTCCCCATCACCACTCCCCCCAAAACCACTTCCCGCCCCAACCCCCCTACCCCCCAACCCCCCACCACCACCGCCACTGTTGCTCCCATGCCAGGACACAGGATCCCAGTAGTCGATGAACGGGGGCACGTGCAGCAGGACGGCTAGGAACGGGGGCGCTGTTCTTCGCTCCCTTGCTGCTGCCACGGCCTCTAGCGTGGCTCGCAGCCACGCAGTCTGTACTGCAGCTGAGGAGGTGTTCACGTTGGAATCCAGGCCTATCCAGAGGCATTCCCCTAGCAGCATGGACCACCATCGCACATCGCTGCTCGTCAGCATGGTGCTTGGGTGTGTGGTGGTGGGGTGTGGTGTAGGGGTAGCAGGAGAGGGAACAGTCCAGAGAGAGGGAGGAGACGAAGGAGATGAGGTGGGTGAGAGGAGGGCGGAGGAGGAAGGAAGTGGGGCAAACAGGTCTGCAAGCTGATGAGCATCAATCAGGGCGTCGTCCAAATTCTCACTGCTCGTCGCGCTACTACCACCACTGCTGCTGCTTCTGCTGCTGGTGTGACCCCCCATCCCTCCTCCCCTATGTGTTCCTGCTCCTGCCCTCAACCCACTGGCATGCCCTACTGCCACATCAAGATCCCCGTGCACGCCCAGGGAAGGGATTGACGCCGCCACATGGCTCGCTTCTAGCGGCTGAGTCCACATGCGCTCCCACTGCAACACTGCATCCGCCTCTCCCCCACTGCTACCACCACTAGCACCACCAGCAGCTCTTGCAGCAGCAACAGCAGCAGAAGCAGCCGCGGCACCGGGTACTCGGTCGCCCAGGTGCATGATGAGGTCGGCGGAGGGTTTATGTGCCCGGATGTGCGTGAGGTGACGCCTGAAGACGGAGCTGCCGCCCTGCGTGTCGGAGATGATGGCCAGGTGGAAGAACTCATCATCCACGTTGTTGTCGTCCTCATACCCCTCCCCTTCATCCTCCTCTGCTGCTGCCCCTCCTGCCCCTGCCCCTGCTGCGGCTCCATCTGCTCCTGCTCCTGCTCCTGCGCCTGCTCCTCCCGCTGCTAGATCTCCCCCTGTGCCACCAACACCAGCGCCAGCTCCTGTCCCATCTCCGGTCCCTGCCCCTGTCCCTGCACCCGCACCGCCACTCTCCCCAGCTTTCCCAAGCCCAAACGACACAGGCGCCCTCTCATGCGCCTTGCGCCCCCACATGCCCTTCTTCCCTACCCTAGACTCGAACTTGGGCGACCCTCCCCCCCCAGAGTCCTTCATCCCTGCTGACCTCCTCAGCATGGCCGCCCGGGTCTTCAGATAGTGCCGCCTCTTGTTGTGCCGCTCGAACCAGGACAAATGCGGGCCGGCCGTGCGGTTGGACAGGGCGGCAGAGCGGTGGGCGGCAAGGGCGGCGTAGGGTGTTGGGCCGAGGAAGTGGAAGGAGAAGACGGGGGAGCAGTGGGAGCCGGAGAGTACACGGTAGTTGTAGTGGCCGGTCGGGAGGGCGGCAGGAAGCAGTGCTGTGTGCACCCAATGGGAGGATGACACCTGGAAGCGTGTGTGAGTGGGTAATATTCGTGCATGCGTGCATGTGTGAGAAGGAGACAGAGGGACACCGGAGGGGGGGGGGGGGGGTAGGGTCAGACGGTGCAACGGGGAGCAGTGGCGACAGGGGCGCTATCTGACAACACCAGACACATACACGCGACCTCTAAACGGATCAGACAATAACAGACAGGCAGAGCAGGCAGACAGTGCGTGAGGGTGAGAGGGTGAGAGAGCCGCACTCACCTGCACGGAGCGGGTGGCAGACACAACCCAGCTGCCATGACCTGCTGCTCCTTCCACCCCCCCACCCCCCCTACCTCCCCATCCCCCCGCCCAATCATTTCCCCAAGCCTCTCTACTTGACCCAGCTGCTTCTCCCGCCCTCCCTCCACCATCAGCACCCACTCCTTTTCCCCCCCGTCCTCCCCCTGCTGCTACTGTCGCACTACCCACAGTACCACCACCACCAGCAGCAGCAGCAGCATCCGCAGCAGCAGAGGCTGAGACGAACCCAGCAGCTCTTCTCCCAAGCGGCTCACTGCCCCAACCAGCCCGGGGGGGCACGTGCTGCTGCTGCTGCTGCGGCTGCTGCTGCTTGTCTTGCTGCTGCTGCTGCTTGTGCAGGCCCTGTGTGGCAGAGCAAGCATCCTCGAGAATGGCGCATGCAGGGGACGCTGCTCCGGCCTCCATCACTCGGTGCTTCTGCCGCACTCTGAAGGGGGAAGACGGGAGAGCGCGCAGCAGAGATGAGGGAGTGAGACAGGGGAGAGATATGGAAGAGAAGGGAGGTTAAGAGGAGTGAAGAGGGGTGAAGAGGGGGGAAGAGAGATGGACAAGAGGGGATAGGAGAGTTGAACAAGAGGGCAGGTAGCTCCCTTGACCATGCAGCTGCAAGTGATCAGCAGCCCTGCTCCTCCACCATTTGACCCACAATCCCCTACCCGTCAACCCCATACTCTGGGCGCGCTCCCGTCTTCCCAGTGAGTCTCCTCTGGGCGTGTGTGGGCGCACGCACCTGCACATGACCACAGTGTGCTGCACCACGTTGCAGTTGCTGTCCCACTGCACCGACAGCTGTGCCACCCCGAACGCGTGGCCCTGCCCCGATGCAGTAGAGGGGGACGAGGAGGAGGAGGTGGAGGAAGCGAAGGAGTGCGAAGAGGCAAGGGGAACGGAGATGTTGCCCCAAATCTCCTCCCTCTCCTCCCCCTGTGGCTCCCGGGCAGTGTAAAACAGCCGGGGACCTGCCCGTATCAAACATGTCGGTAGCACAGGGGTGGATGCTGCTGTAGCGCCTGCTGCTGCTGCTGCTGCTGTGGCGTCAAGTGGAGAAGATTCATTCCCTGGTGACGGTGATAGCAGGCCAGGGAGAGGGAAGGGGAGGTGTCATCGGACAAGGAGGCAGGCTGACTTCGGAAGGGTGAAATCTGCTGTTGATATGTAAGCAACAGGCACAACAGGCAAGCAAGCACAAGGGAGAGAACGAGGGAAGTGAGGCAGCGCATTTCCCCTTGGACACACACACACACACCGCAGCTCGTACCTTGGTCCCTGCTGCTGGGCACAGCAGGCGGGCGTTGCGACAGGAGAGAGGAGTCTGTCAGGTACATGAGGGACAGCTTCACACCCACACCGCCCACCGCCTCTGCCACATGCGAACCGTTACCAGCGGCAACCCCAGCAGCAGCAGCAGCAGCAGCAGCAGCTCCACCGCTGCTATCAGTAGCAGCACCAGTGCCGGCAGCAAGAGTGCCAGCAGTTGCTGCTCCCCCAGGAGGGGGCACATCGCCAAGAAGAGGGAAGGATTGTGGCGCGCAGAGATCAATAGAGAGGTACCAGGCTGATGGAGGCACCTGTGCAGTGCAGAATAGGGGGGAGGGGTGGGAGGGGGAAAGTGAAGGACAGGGAGACGTACGGACGCATGGGGTGGAATACGATGGGAGTACTTGGAACGGGAAACACGCGCAAGGACCGTGAACGAGCCGAGTGTGTGTGCTTGGTCTGTGCATGGTCTGTGCATGGTCTGTGCATGGTCTGTGCATGGTCTGTGCATGGTCTGTGCATGGTCTGTGCATGGTCTGTGCATGGTCTGTGCATGGTCTGTGCATGGTCTGTGCATGGTCTGTGCATGGTCTGTGCATGGTCTGTGCATGGTCTGTGCATGGTCTGTGCATGGTCTGTGCATGGTCTGTGCTTGGTCTGTGCTTGGTCTGTGCACAGTGTGATGGCGGTCTCCCTACGCCATTGATTCATTACACCACCTGCATTCGCCCGTGCTCACCAGCGCCACCAGCGGCCCCACTTCTCTCTGCCTCGTGATGCTCTGCCCCACTGCCCCCACGCGCAGCACCTCCTCCCCCGCCTCCCCTCCCATCCCCCCAGGAACCCTCCCAGTATCCCCCCTCGCCTGCAAGTCCTCCGCTCGCCCGCTCTCCTCATTCACCTCCAGCCCCTCCCTTCCCCCCCACAGCGCCAGGGACAGCACCACGCGCTGAGTCTCCACCAATCCCCGCTCAATCAACCTTAGATCCCGCCGCCATCCCTCCCGTGGAGCCTCCTCTCCTCTCCCTCCCGCTCCCGCTCCCGCTGCTTCCCCCTCACCCTTCCTCCCGACCCCTCTTCTATCGCCCAATTCCCCACCCTCTCGCTTCACAGCCTCTTGCCCCTTTCTCTCCCCCCCCTGCCGCTCGCCCTTATCCGCAGTCCCATTGCCCCCACTGCCCCCACTGCCCCCACTGCCCCCACTGCCCCCACCTGCTCCCACTCCCTCCCCCAGCTGCAGCTGCACGGACACATAGACTGCGCCGCTTCTGCCAGCCTCCCGTATCCTCGCCCGCACGTCTGTGGCCCACCGCCGGCACACCTGCCCGTGCGCTCCCCGCCACACGAGCGCGAACGGCTGGGGGTCGTCCTCAGCAAAGGCGGGGGAGGGAGGGGAGGAGGAGGGAAGGAGCTGGGCCGGGGGGATGCGGACAGGTGAGGCCGTGCGGATGCGCTGGGAGCGAGGGAATTGGCGCGTGGCTGCCGAGGCGGAAGTGGAACTAGCAGCGTCGGGTGTGGAGGAGCCTGGACGTGGGCGCAGGAGGATGGCCCGGTCGCGTGGGAGGAGGTACGTGGCTGCCGGGAGCAGGTCAGTGTCCACGTGGATGCACGGCGGCACGGGCTTGTCCTGCTGCGGCTGGTGCTGCTCATGGCACGCAAGGGAGAGAGGCACAGAGGGGTGTGGGGGGTTTGGGGGGGGGGGGGTGGGGGTGGTTGTGAAGGTGAATTTGAAGGGACTGATTTCGGCATGCGTATCGAGATGAGGAGGGACGAAGGGACGCAGGGAGGCAGAAGGGGGAGCGAGGAGAGCGGGGAGAACCAGTGGGGTCGGGAGGATCAAATCGAGCGACGATACGAGGCGAGCAGAATGAGAAAGAGAGCGAAGGGGGGAGGGGAGGGGGAGGAAGGAAGGGGGGAGGGCTACGCATGCTCGTTCCACAAGCGTACCTCCCCGAATCCAGTGACCATGGCGAGCGATCGCGCCTGCTGCAGCACGTGCAGCGCGCGGATGGACAGCGACGGCAGCTGCTGCCGCGCGGCGTTCTCCAGCAGCAGATCCGCGGACGAGCTCCCCCCGCCAGTGGTCCCCGCGGCCGCCGCCGCGTCGAGCAGCTGCGAGGGGTCCATGGGCGCATCTACCCGGTAGAGCAGGCGCATGAGGCACAGCACCGACGTGAAACACGCCAGCCCCCCGCCCGCCAGCAGCACCGTCATCACTCGCCGCATGGTGAATATCCCCCGCCATCCGCCGCCGCCCCCGCCCCCGCCGCCGCCGAGGGCGGAGGATCGTTGCGGCTTCCGCGGCGAGTGGTTGGGGAGGATGGGCTTGCGCTGCTTGCTGGCGGGCGAGCTCTTTATGGGGAGGCCGCGCATGGTGGGGGGAGCGATGGGCGGAGAGAAGCGCGGACTATGGGGAGGAGGTTAGGGTTCGGTTGAGAGCGGTGATCATGGTGGGGGCGATGGAGAGGAGCGCAAGGGTATTCGCGGAAGGGAATACGATGATGAGGTGGAGGGAGGGTGAGGGAGCGAGGGCCAGCCGCACGAACGCTGTGTAAGGCTCGTCCCGTGAAACCGACGAGGTATGACTCTAAATCGCGGTGCGCAAACCGTTAACTCTATGCTGTACGATGAATCTATGCGGACACACGAAGGGATATCGGACAGGTCGGGCCGCAAGGGAGCGCAAGAGCAATGCGGACTCTCGAGCTTGCGACTGACGCACACACAAACACAGACACGCAGAGTGACGACTGGCTTCTAGGCTTGCCGCTGTGGACTTAATTGTATCGAAAAAAAGGTGACAGCTTCAAGGAAACGTGAGAGTCAGAAAAATCTGGACTTTTGTTTTTGCTACCAGCGGGAATTTTGCAAATCTGGTGTGCGGGCTGCACCTCGCGCCGAGAACGAACAGATCATTCCAAAGTCACTGGTCGCGGTCGGGAATCGCGAATCGCGAGGGGTAGCACGGATCGAAGCGCCGGAAGGAATAAACGGAAAGAAAAACCGATGGCTCTCTCTCGCGCCGGCCGGCCGGCCAGGCCCTGCGATCGCGTTTCCTAGGTCCGTAAAAACGAAACCATGGAAAGGAACCTCGTCCACTTAGCGTGCTGCTGCCGCTCCTCTGACCTACCAGACCCACCGATTACTGTAAGACAAGCAGAGCTTGCGCCAAGGCCGTGTGTGTGCCTATCACGGCTTCAGAAGCACACGAAAGCGCGGCGCCCACAGGCACTTGCAGCTAGATTCCGCAGATTCCAATTGAGTGGTGCCAGCTCGGTGGAGTCATATGAGGAGAGGTGCCATGGATTGGCAGTCGCGCATGACAGTGCAGCAAAAGCTCCGCACTTCGGTCCACGGCGGGCTGCTGTAGCTGTGCACGTAGAATGCATCCTAGAGCTTGACGAGTGAAGCTATCGCCTTGTACGATCGCGGTGAGGCACCCCCAAGCGGGGATTTCACCCAGCATGATCTGCTCTAGGTAGCAGGCGCTGGGTCACAAACGAGGATAGTTACCCATCTACAGCATTTCTTTTCTCGAAAGTTTATTATCAGGTTATTTCTCGCTTGCTTGGCCACATGGGATCCAAATCTCACAACCAATTACTGTACAGCATACGGCGGCCACTGTGTTGTCCTGTGACTCTATCGAGGGAGCTGGTCCCCACACTCCACACTCCCCTCTCTGCTCCCTCGATAGTGAATTTACCCTCCAAACTTCCCAAGCCAGCCAAACCAAACCTCGACTACTCCGACGAAATAAAAAACCCAGCGAGCTGAATCCGACGGTCCCCGTCCGCTAATCCGGCCAGCTGATCGTTAGCTTCCATACGACGCACCACCGCCATAGTTCCACGTCATGTGACCAGCTCACCACGGCGCATCGAGGGCCACGTAGCCACGGCGTCAGCTGCAATTGCAGCTTTATCCGCCGTTGATCCGCTCGAGCAGCAACGTGGGAGCATTGCACGTAGTTGAGTCAATGCCTCTTCGGTCTCCGTCGCCGCCGCCGCCGTCGCCGTCGTCTGCGTGTGCCATTCTGAGCTGGAAGGAGTTGCGGAACGTTTAGGCTGAGTTGCGGGCGCGTGTCTGTCCACCCCTAGATTCCCCTACCAGACAGCCGAGCAAATCGTGAGACCTGCTGCCAGTCAAGTGCGCGTCACGATTGTCGAAGCAACGCAGGACGCTACCGCGTGCGCGCCGTCAATTCTCTCAATTCTCCACTCGCCACTCTCCATTCTCCACCGTCGTTCTCTCCAATTCCCGCGGTTGCGAGCGGTGATGGGGCTGTACGAGGCGGTGGCGGGCATGGCGGTGCAGCTGTTGGAGACCATCAGCACGTACCTGCAGCTGCCCTTCTTCCGAGTCAGCTTCCTCGACCTCACCGTCGATGGTGCGCGCGCGTGCATCCTCATTCCTAATTTTCCTCCCGTTCCCTTCCCGTTCTTCCAAAGCGGTCGCTTTGCCCCCGCCTTTCCACCATCCTGCGTCGGATCCACGCAGTGTTGCGCCTGGCTTGATCCGAACCCAGACGCTCTCTGACATCGCTTTCCCATCCCACCCTCGAAATCCGTTATCCTTTACGAGATCCTCTCCTCGCCTTTGCCCCCTCCGCGAGTTTGTATGGTAACCTGTTTGTATGCTTTCTCAATTGCGTGCTTTCCTCGCCCCTCCTTCTGTCCGCACTCCCCGCTTGTCCGTGTGACTACCTATTGTGTGTGCGCCCACCCGTCCGCCTGACTGTGCGCGCGTTTTTGCCTGTGCGTGTGCGCGCGACCTCGGCCGTGCACGGCAGGCCACTTGGTGCTGGAGACCATTCTGCTGGTGGCCATCGTCTTCCTCATGACGCAGAAGAGCTACAAACCAGACAAACGCTCCCTCACTGAAAAGGTCAACCCACCTCCCCCCCCCCCCCTCCCAACCTCTCCCCTCGCCTCTGCCCTTTACCCTGCTTCTCACTCCCCGCGTCCCCTTCATTTCACTTCACGTGCTGTTGCAACTCAAGCCGCCCTCTCTCCTCCTGCCCTGTCTCTCGCGACCTACCTTTGCTCCCTCACAAAATTTTGAAGCCATCTTGAAATTCTCTCAACAACCCTCATGTGACCTTTGCCCCATCCCTGTGTGCCCCATTGCCCCGGCGTGCAGGAGATAGACCATCTATGCGAGGAATGGGTGCCTGAGCCGCTGCACCCGCCCGCTCCCTCTCAAGCACTGGCCCGCCACGTGCCCGTACTGGACAAGTGAGCGGGGGGGGGGGGGGGGAGGGGGGAGGGGAAGGGGAGTGAGGGGGGGAGTACCCTGTTTTATAGACTCAGGGGGTGGTTTTGGAGGATGGGATGGTACAGGTAGCAATGGGGACAACAATATGTGATGGTGCTGTAAGCAAGTAGCTTGATGCCCCTTGGGTGTGTTATGCTTGCTTCTCGTGCACGCCCTTCGCTCCTGATGCTCATCTCTCCCTTTCCCCCTCTTCCTACCACCCACCCCCCGCTTCCTCCCCCCCCCCTCCTCCGCCCTCGTTATCCCCAGGGCTGGCGAGCCATGGACTGTGGCGGATGGGCGCAAGATGCTGAATCTAGCGTCCATGAACTTCCTTGGCCTCATAGGCAACGCGCATGTGCAGGTCAGTCAGTGCCGTGGGCAGGTCAGTCACGTGCGTGGCAGTCACGTGAATCTCAGATCACTGTCAAACAGCATTAGCCATGTGTCATGTCCAATCTCCCATGTGCCATGTGCCATGTGCCATGTGCCATGTGCCATTTGCCATGTGCCATGTGTCATGTGCCATGTGCTATGTGCCATGCGCCATGTGCCAGGTACCGTGTCCACCCAAGCGCATCCTCGTGGTTTCTTCCGCCCCTCTCCCACCCCTCGCCCTGTGTGCACCACCCCAGGAGACGGCCACAGCAGCACTGCACAAGTACGGAGTCGGCTCCTGTGGCCCACGCGGATTCTACGGCACTATAGGTATGCTGTGTGCCACGTAGGTATAATCCGAGCCATACCCCCTGTCAGTCATTGCCCTCATCAAAGGCGCATGTGCCATATGCCATGCGCCACCCCTCCCTCAAACCCCCTTTCTTCCCCCGCCCCCCCTCTCCCCCCCCCCCCCCCTGCTCCATCCCCGGGCACCTGTTGCTTGCTGTGGTGGGTGTGGCAGACGTGCATTTGGACCTGGAGGAGCGCCTGGCGGGGTTCCTGGGCGTGGAGGGGTGCATCTTGTACTCGTACGGGCTTGCCACCGTCGCCTCCACCATCCCCGCCTTCTGCAAGCGCGGCGACCTCATCATCGCGTAAAACCCCTCCCTCCCCTCCCCTCCCCTCCCCTCCCCTCCCCTCCGACCCCCTCCCCTCCCCTCATCATTGCCTTATCCTACCCTTCCTAACCTTTCGCGCCTCTTCTGCTGTTCGCTCACCTTGTGCCTTGCCTCTTCCTGTTCGTGTGAACGTCACTGCGTTCCTCCTTCCTGTGACCTATGCGCATGCTTCACATCGCCACCCAATGCCATGGCTCAATACCATATCAGCCATCCACCCATGCCCCGCCTCGTAGCCCTGAATCCTTCACCACCTCTCCTCAAACGCACTCACCTCCGCCCCTCCCCTCACCTTCCCCCCTCTCCCGTCCCTCTCCGCTCGCTTTTCTTCATCCTCCATTCCCCCGCCCCCCCGCTCCCCCGTGGTGTATGTGCGGCATACAGCAGCAAGGGCGTGGGGTGGGCGATGCAGAACGGCATGACGCTAGCGCACACACGTTTGAGTGAACTCAAAAGTCATCTCTCCACCCCCCCACTCCCCCCACCTCCTACACCCCCCCCGCCCCCCCTTTTCCCCTTTACTGCCCCAGCGACGAGGGCGTGGGGTGGGCGATGCAGAACGGCATGACGCTGGCGCGCAGCACAGTGCGCTACTTCCGCCACAACGACATGCAGCACCTGGAGCAGCTGCTGCAGCAGGAGGTTGCTGGCGACCATAAGAGCACCAAGACCGACAGCCGCCGCTTCATCGCCGTCGAAGCCCTCTACCAGGCAAGGGGGATGGGGGGAGGGGAGCGAGGGGGGAGAGGGGGAAAGAGGAGGGGATGTTGAGGGAGTTCAAGGGGGAAGGGGCCGACGGGGGAGGGATGGAGGGAGAAAGGAAGGGAAAGAAATGGCAGTGCCAGCCATAAAATCTGGAGAATTTCAATTCTTGCGAGGGTTCACTTTGCCCGCACTCTCTCCCTCGTGTTGCACTGCTGGGGGCAGCTGCTCCTCTCCCCGAGCTCGTGCTGCTCAAGGAGAAGCACGAATTGCGCATCACAGTGGAGGGGAGCCCAGCCCACACACCCCACACGCCCCACACATGTCTCCTCCCATCGCCAACGCCTGTCCACCTGTCCCAACTCAAGCACCCCACCTCACCCACTTCCCCCGTCTCCATCTCCGCCTATCCCAGCGTGTAACCTCAACCCCATTCCGTCCCTTCGTTTCCTCCCAACCCTTCCCCCCCTCTCCGTTCCCGCCCTTCCTCGCTGCTGCGCTGCATTGCAGTGCTCGGGGCAGCTGCTGCCGCTGCCGGAGCTGGTGCGGCTGAAGGAGAAGTACAAGTTCCGCATCATAGTGGAGGAGAGCCTGTCCTTTGGCGTGCTGGGCGCCACGGGGCGGGGCATCTCAGAGCACTACGGCACGCCCGTCACCAACATCGACATCATCGTCGCCGCCATGGGCACGTCTCTCGCATCAGTCGGGGGGTTCTGCTGCGGCAGCGCCAAGGTCGTCGACCACCAGGTGCGATGGCTGCCGCTCCGCCTCTCCGCTGCTCCCGCTCTCCCTCCTTCCATGCATGCTCGCTTGCCACTTACTGTGTGCTGTCGTCGTATGACACCGTCCGTCACTCATCCCCTACTGCCTTTCTACCCTTCGCCCCCACTCATCTGCACTTCTCATGCGCTCGTGCTCGCTGGCCCCATCTTCCCCGCGCCCGTGCCGCTCCCCCCAGCGGCTGGGCGGCATGGGGTACTGCTTCTCGGCGTCGCTGCCGCCGTTCCTGGCGTCAGCCGCCATGGCAGCGCTGGACGAGATGGAGGCGCGCCCCAACGCGCGCTCGCTGCTGCAAGCCAACGCCACGGCCTTCCGGGAAGGTCAGTCGCCGTGCTGTGCTGTGCTGTGCTGTGCTGTGCTGCGCTGTGCTGTGCTGCGCTGTGCTGTGCTGCGCTGTGCGCATACGCGGGGGAGGAAGGCGTGTAAGCAGGGGCGTTAGGAGGAGAGAGGGCGGGTTGTGAGGGGTGGAGAAGAGCATGTGCTGGATTGGAGGGAAGTCTGGGAGGGAGTGCTGAATGCTGTTACAGCGCCTGGAAGGGAGTTTCCTGCAGTGCCTTGGTTGGCTTTGCATGTTGAACTGCACCTGGTGGTGTTCTCTGCATCACTCACTCATGCCGTGCCTAGCAGCCTATTTATGCCTGTCACCACATCTCGTGTACCCCTTGCCACATGCTGTCAACCCCTCTCCTCCCCTGGAAACTCTGCAGGCATGGCGGCGCACTGCCCTGCTCTCGAGGTGCAAGGCCACGCGGTGTCGCCCGTGCTGCTGCTGCGGGTGTCCAAGGCAGCAGGCGGCGCGGGTGGGGTGCGGGATGGGGAGGACGAGCCAGCGCTGCTGCAGAAGATAGTGGATGAGGTGAGAGCAAGACATCCTGTGAAGCATCTGGAGAGGAAAAGAACCCCCTGCACCTTGCTCTTCTCCACACCCTGTGCTCCCAACCTGTTGCTCGCAGCCAAGCCCCAACCTGTTGCTCTCGATCTACTGACCTGCTCCCTTGTGGCTTCCCTGCCCGTGTGCACCCCTTGCCTGCATGCATCCCCTCCTGTGTTCGTTCCCCTCCCCGGGCCTGGCAGATGCGGGAGGGAGAGGATGTGCTGGTGAGTGTGCCGCTGCGCTCGCCCCTGGACATCTGCCCCCTGCCAGCGGGCATTCGCGTGTGCCTGTCGGCCGGTCACTCCCAGGATGACATGCTCCTTGCAGCTAAGGCATTTGGCCGGGCAACCGCTCGTGTGCTCGGCTCAGCATCTAGCTGATCGGTGTTGGGGGCAGGGTTCGCTTTGCTTTGCACTGCACCCCAGGGTTGGGGAGGGAAGGGAAGGGAAGGGAAGGGAAGGGAATTGAGGATGCTGTGAGTAGTCTTGTGCTTGTGATTGTTGACTGATTTTTCTGGCTCCGTGCTTGGCTGGCCGTTTTGTGCGGGTAGCTTAGATGAGCTTTCTTTGTGAGGGTACATGTGTTCATAGACCAAGGAGACACTTCACAGCAATGTTTATGCATATGGTAGTTGCTTGCCTAACTAGTCACCTAGTTTGTGGCTTGTCCCCACTCTCTCCTGTATCCTAAGTCATGTGATTATCAACCGAACCACATGTGATTCCACTGCATTATCGAATCGTGCTCTTTTAGGGTTTTTTTTTTCCACCTCCCTTCCTGGCTCGGGTCCCTTAGGTTCCGTAGTGCCTGAAAGCCAAACGCTAGTAGCCTCCGGTCACCACCAGCACATACCCTGGGTTACCTCCCCGCGCCCGCCAGCACGGCGCGCGCGCTGAGGCGCCTCCCAATGGCCACAATCTCCGCCTTTGCGCCCACCCTCTCCCCCGCGCACTGCCTTCACCGCTCAGGAGCAGCCGCCGCCGCGGCCGCGCCTCTCCGCCGGAACGCGCGCACGCTCATGGCGGGGGCTATGGGCATTCTGCGGAATGCGGCCGGTCCCCGCGGAACTGGAATCAGCGGAATAGCGCGGCAAGAGATAGGCATATGCGGACGCGAGACAACGGCGCAGAGTCGTGAAAGTGGGATAGCTTCTAATCTACGCCGCGACACGGGACTGACCAGGGGAGGTTTCATCCGATCCGAGCACAACTGCAGCGGGGGGAGGATGCGATTTCTCAGCGTGAATTGTGACAGCAGCCCCAGCCGCCAATGCAGCGCTATTCCGCGCCAAGTGCACGGATCGGTACCCCCCTTCCGCCATGGCTGCTACCACTCCAGCGTCGCTTCACTCCCCTTGTACTCCCTGCCACCACCACACCCCACGCTCTGCAGCAGCAGCAGCAGCAGCAGCAGCGGGTGCGGAAGCTACAGCGGCGGAATCAGGCGGGAGAGTGGCTCTCGAAGACTCTTCTCGCGGGGTAGCGCGAATGCAGATGCGAGTTTGGCGGTAGCGGAGGAGGAGACGGAGGGGGGTGCGGCTGTGGGGACAGGGGAGGAGAAAGCAGTAGGTGATGCGAGAGTGGTGAGTGGAGAGGAGGGAGGTGAGAAAGCAGGGAGCTGCAGAAGTGAGGACGAGAAGAGAAGAGAAGAGAGCAAGGGACAGAGGAAGGAGAACGAGAAGGCGAAGGGGAAGGGGAAGGGGAAGGGGAAGGAAAAGGGTAAGGAGGAGGCGGTGAAGCTAATGCTGTACAACACGATGAGCCGCGGCAAGGAGGAGTTTGTACCGCTGCAGGCGGGGAAAGTGGGCATGTATGTGTGCGGTGTGACGGTGTACGACTACAGCCACATCGGCCATGCCCGCGTATATGTCTCCTTCGACGTCCTGTACAGGTGTGTGTGACGCCACTCCACACCCTCGTCTCCCCCTTCTCTTCTCTTCTTCCTCTCCCCCCCTCTTCTTCTCCACCTGCTTTCTAGGCTGCTGCCGCTGCTGCTGCTGCTGCTGCTGCCGCTGCTGCTTCGGCTGCTGGCACTGCTCAGCTAAGCCACCAATGCTGCCACATCATGCTTGTCACAGCTAAGTGAGCTATGCAAGCCCATGCCCATGCCCATGCCCATGCCCATGCCCATGCCCATGCCCATGCCCATGCCCATGCGACATGATCTGGTCCAACTCATGGTACTACCCATCCTGCTGAGGCAGCACACTTATGTATGGCCGTCTCTGCCCCTATGTGTCCCCTTGTGCGCTTTGCTTTGTCTCTCTCTGTGGTGGCATGACACCGCACCAGGTACCTGCAGCACATGGGGTATGACGTCACGTACGTGCGCAACTTCACTGATGTGGATGACAAGGTCAGTCACATGCCATGCCATGCAAGGGGTGCTGCCATGCAAGGGGTGCTGCCATGCAAGGGGCGCTGCCATGCAAGGGGCGCTGCCATGCAAGGGGTGCTGCCATGCAAGGGGTGCTGCCGACCACGTCTTCATCCATCCATGTCCATGCATCTCTCTCTCTCCTGCATGTTATCCCTGCAGTTACCCAGCTGACCTTGCCTCTACATGCATGCATGCGCGCATGTGTCCATCTCAACTGCTCCGTCTTACCTTCCCTCCCAGTTGTCCACCACCCTTCTGGCGCGCCTGTCAGTGTGTTATGGCATGCTACCCCAAGCCATAACATTGTTCCGGCAACGCCCTTCTTTCTACCCAGCTTCCCATCCGGCTCTCCGGCCCTTCCATTTGCTTTACCATCCATCTGTGTTCTTCCATGCTCCCTGCAACGTAACACATGTATGTTGTCTCCCTGCCCACTCTCTCCCTCCGCCCCCCCCTGCAGATCATCAAGCGTGCGTTGGAACTGGGCGAGGATCCGCTGCATCTGAGCCGTCGGTTCATTGGCGAGTTCCATGCGGACATGCATGCGCTAGGGTGCCTGCCCCCCACGCACGAGCCTAAGGTGTCGGAGCACATCCCCGACATCATCCACATGATCCAACAGGTACCCTCCCATGTGCTTTGTCGTTCCCATGCCATACCGTACCGTGCCAGACAGTGCTCTGGTGCCATGCCATGCCATGCCATGCCATGCTCCCTGGCCAATCTTCCATGTTGTGATGTGCTGCTTACTCTCCCTTGCTCCATCGATCCATCCTCTATCTCATCTTACACCCCTCTGTCTTTCTAGATAGTGGAATCGGGAGTCGGCTATGTGGTGGACGGCGGGGATGTCTTTTTCAATGTGGACAAAGCGGAAGGATACGGACAGCTGTCCGGGCGGCGGCAGGAGGAGAACCGGGCAGGCGAGCGGGTGGCAGTGGATGAGAGAAAGAGGAACCCAGCTGACTTTGCGCTTTGGAAGGTGCGCGTGCAGTAAGCTGGATGGCACATCCTTCTCTCTTCCCACTATCCATACCCATTCCGTGCCCCTGTGCCATGTCATCCCATGCCTCCGCACCCGTCCCATCCCTCCACACCCATACCATGCTGCTCGCCCCTCCCACACTCCATTCACATCCCCATACCCCCATGCCCCCATGCCCCCATGCCCCCATGCCCCCATGCCCCCACGTCTCCCTCACCCCTCACCCCCCTCAGAGCGCCAAGCCGGGCGAGGTGTCGTGGGAGAGTCCGTGGGGGTTGGGGCGGCCGGGGTGGCACATAGAGTGCAGCGCCATGAGCCAGCGCTACCTGGGGTTCCGATTTGACATCCACGGGGGCGGCAGGGACCTCATCTTCCCGCACCATGAGAACGAGCTCGCACAGAGCAAGGCCGCCGCCGCCGCCGCCGCTGCTGCTGCTGCTGCTGCTGCTGGGGGTGCTGGTGCTTCGGCTGGTGCCGGTGGTGATGGTGTGGAGCCGCAGCAGCAGCATGCGCATGGGGGGGAGGAGGGGCAGCAGCATGGAGGAGGGTGTTTGCACTGCGCGGAGGGGGAGGGGGAGGCGTGTGGGGTGTCGGTGTGGCTGCACAATGGGTTTGTAAACGTGGACTCGGAGAAGATGTCCAAATCGCTGGGAAACTTCTTCACCATCCGAGAGGTGTGCACCGCACTGCACCACACCGCATTGCTTACGCTGAATCAGAGCAGGGGGGCCAGTGTCCGTCTCTCCCTCTCACACAGAATCCTCTCTCCCTCCCTCTATCTCCCTATCACCAGTGTCTATCTCCTTCCCCTCTTACCCCCTCATACTCCCCCTCTCCTTCCCCCCCCCCACGGTGCGGCAGGTGTTGGATCGCTTTCACCCGGTGGCGGTGCGGTGGTTCCTGCTGTCGACACACTACCGCTCGCCCATCAACTACAGCGACCGCCAGCTCGACCGCGCATCCGACCGCGTCTTCTACCTCTACCAGGCATGTCACCAGCGCACTGTTGTTTAGGCTCCTCAAAGTCCACGTGAAGGAGACGTTTTTTTAGGCGCCTTATACGGCATGTCACGTGCAGACCAGCAATCAAGAATTTTGTTATTTCATTTATGTCCTCCTCTCCCCCCAAACTCCTCTCTCCCCCCGTCGCTCACCTTTTCTCTCTTCTCCCTTTCCCCTCTCTATCCCTCTCTCACTCGTGCACTCTGTCCCTCTCGTCTGCCAACCCCCTTTTGCACCTGGCTTCTCAATTGGTACAGCTCTTGGCAGACTGCGAAGCGGCCAATCAGCAGCAGCAGCAGGTATCACCTGGTGCAGGAGCGTCCAAGCCGCCTCCTGCGCCAGCCAAGGTGGCAGTGGCAGCAGCAACGCAGGTGGCAGCAGCGGTAGCAGCAGCGCTGGCGGACGACCTGCACACGGCGCAGGGAGTGGCGGCCCTCTCAGAGCCGCTCAAGCTCATGGGGGACATGCTGGGGGGCAAGAAGGTGAGTGAGATTGGGGACTGCCACAATGCCATTACAAGGTTGGAGATTGAAGTTTTGGGGGATGGAGGGGTTGGGGGGTGGGGGTAGGAGCGGGGGAGGTGGGGAGAGGTAGGCCGGAGGGGGAGGGAGTGTTGAGGTGAGGGGGTGGTGCACGCACCACGAGTGGTTAGAGTGCTCAGAGGGGAAGCAAATTGCTGCTAGGAGTCTCCATCTACCGCTACCATTGTGTTTTGCTTTTTGGGCTCATGGCCGCATTCGCTGAAACCAACGGTGTGCCCCGTTTGTGCATGCCTGCCACTGCGTTGGCAGTACAAGAAGGACCCCTCCCGGGTGCCCTCCCTCCTGCTGCTGCAAGAAGCCGTGGTTTCCGTGCTCGGCCAGCTCGGCCTACCCACCACTGGATATACCCCGGTGAGACTGCGTCTTTGACATCTCCAAGGCATCAACACAACACAGAATATTTCATATGCATTGCGCCGATGTTGACTTATGCTCAGCCGTCCTTCCCTATTGTCCATGTTGGTTCTCCGGATTCTCTCTTGAAATGCACGATCTCATTGTGCAAGCCACCTGCGCCCCTCCCTGAAGCAGCTTCTGGAGGACTTGAAGCAGCTGGCGCTGAAGCGAGCGGGGATGAGTGCATTGCAAGTAGAGGCGATGATGGAGCAGCGGGAGGAGGCAAGGAAAGCCAAGGACTTTGCACGGTCAGATGCCATTCGAGATGAGTTGGCGCAGGTGGGGATCATGCTCATGGACACCGCTGCTGGCATGATGTGGCGACCTGCCGCCATCACCACGCATGATGCCGATGATGCTGATAGCTCAGCGGGCTCTGAATGACGTAGTACTGGTAATTGTTCCTTATACATGTCTGCCAAATAGAGTAGTGGTTGGCATGTGTAGGTAGTGTTTTTCTGTTCTATAGGATAGGTTGTGATTATTATTACCTCAGGAAATGCTGTAACATCCGCACACAACATGCGTCAGCAAATTCGCCCGAGCTCTTCCTGTCAGCTCAGCACAGCAGTCGGAACCAGCAGTATCCTCGGCCCCCACTTTTCTTCCCTTCCGACCTGCCTGCCGTTATCTCCGCTTTCCTCCACCACCCATTCCGTGCGGCTGTCAACGCACTGTCTTTTTCACCGCTCAGCGATAGTCTCTCGCAACACTTTCGTTCCCCCGGCAGCGCTTACCGGTAGTTACTAACACTCTCGATATCTCTCCCGACTCCGTTGATTTCCCCCCCCCAGCGGGGCATGTGTCGGCCGCAAGTGGAGCGGCCGCTAGCGGCGCTCTCGCTGCTGCACCACCAGCTGCAGCAGCGCCGCCAGCCGTGGCTCGCGCCCGACTGGTCCCCGCCGGAATCCGTGCCGGATGAAGCGGAGGCCGCCGCCGCGTGGCTGCGCTTCCAGCGGCGGCGGGTGCGGCTGCTGACGCGGCGCATGCGCTTCCTGCTGCTGCTGTTGCTGGCGCTGGGCGTGCTGCAGATCGTGCTGGGCACCTACGTGTCGTATTGCTTCCACGCGGCCGTCGCCAAGCACCGCGCCCGGTGAGTGGCGGGCGGGACGCAGGGGCGGAGGAGACCAGGGGGGAAGGGGAGGGGAAAGGGGAGGGGGGAGGTGGGAGAAGCGCATAAGCAAAGGCATGAGGCGCGTAGGTTCTTGTGCAGCCGACATTGTGACACGCCCAATAACTTTCTTCTGTTACCTCTGGGCGTCCATTCCTATGAGTCAGTTTCTCTCTCTGCCATGCTTGCGTGCCTTGCGCGTGTGCGTCTTTATCCAGGAACCAGGAGCTGCAGCAGGCGCATGGTTCCTGGTGATAACTTTCTTTCACGCCCATGGTTGCCTGCCGTGTGTGTGTGCGCATGTGTGCATGTGCGTCTTATCCAGGAACCAGGAGCTGCAGCAGGCGCTGGTGCGGGCAGGCGAGGCGTGGCAGTGGCAGCAGCAGTGGTGGGCGCAGAGCAAGCAGGACAGGGCGAAAGGGAGAGCAGCACACAGCAGCAGCAGCAGCAGCAGCAGCAGCAAGACGGGCAAGGGGGAGCTGGGCCTGCCTACTGTCTCCCTCCCTGCCAGGACCCTGCTTGCTCTTGACCCTGCCCTTGATGCTGTGCACATGGCATTAGATGATGAGGAGGAGGAAATGGGTAGTGATGCTCGTGCTGATGATGCCGATGGTGCGACTGCCAATGACACTGTTCAGTGTATAGATGGCTATCTCTCAGCTCCTGCTGCTTCTTCTTCTGCTCCTGCTGCTGCTGCTGCTGCTTCCACGTGTAGTGGTGCTGTCGCTGTCAGCAGTGCGGCCTTGTTGCCTGCCATGTGCTGCGACCACCAGTGGCTGCACCACATGCCACACTCAGCACACGAGGGAATGCCATCCCACACTCAGCACAGCAGCAGCAGCGGTAGCAGCAGCAGTAGCAGTGGTGGCGGCAGCAGAAGCAGCACTCATCAACCTATTAGCGTGCATCAACCCTAGCAACGCGCCCCATACCTGTCAGCCCGGCTCTCACCAATCTCCTGCTCCCATCCCATCTCCTCCCCAGCCGCCCAGTTTGGTTGGCCCATGGATCAACTGTTGTACAATACATTTTCTCCTGTTGGTTAGGTGTACGTATATTCCAAGCTGAAATTACCCAACGATATTGCATTCTCCTTAGGTCAGTGCTTGTTTGACTCCTTTAACCGTAGTATACTTCCTAGCAGGGCCTTCTCTTTGAGCGATCCAACCAAGCCTGTCAGAAACACCAAGCATCAGGGAACTTGCATCCCCCGACCACAGGATTAGAAGGGGTTCCATTCCATACCATGGATGCGATGCGAAACACCGGATTCAAATCCATGCAAGCTAACACCACCAGTGAAATGCCCAGAGAGAGCAATAGATAGTGCCTACATAGTACATACCCACACAGGCTAGGAACATCAAAACTTAGTGTTCCTACCTACGCCCTACCCAGCAAAATTCAGTGCTGTGATGTGAATGAACCAATTTCCAAAGCTGTGAATCTTCAAGCTGTCAGTTGTCCTTGGGTTCTTGCGCCAGCGCTGCTCGCTCAAAGTCAGCAGCAGCTGTTTCTGTCTCGGGCACGTGCAGCATGCGCGCCACTATGGCCGGGGGCAGCGCGAATGTATCCACGCCTGCTGCTGCCAGTGCCGATACCTCCCCCGGTGCCCTCACACTCGCCACCAGCACACGCGTTGCACTGCTGGTGGCCGAGACGGCACGCTGGGAGGAGAAGGGGACGAGGGGGGAGATCATGGATTGCGGGAGAGGATGGGGGGTATTGCGGAGAAGATAGAAGCAGTCACACTCTGTTACCCAAACCGCAATGTCACGGCATGGCATGGCATGTCATGCAATGACACGGCATGGCATGGCATGTCATGCAACGACACGGCATGGCATGGCATGTCATGCAACGACACGGCATGGCATGCAATGACACGGCATGGCATGGCATGCAATGACACGGCATGGCATGGCATGGCATGGCATGCAGTGACACAGCACGGCATGCAATGACGCAGCATCACATGCAATGACACAGCATGCCATGGCACGTACCTGCATGGCGATGATCTCGGCCTTGCCGTCTTTACCCAGCGCATCCATTCTCCCCAGGTACGGCGCCGCATACTGCGCCCCCACGCCCTGCGCTAGCAGCACCTGGCGCATGCAGGGGGGCACGCAGGGGAGGGTGCATGATGATATGCGTGAGAGACCACCTGGGAGCATTCACGGGGGCATGTTTGAGTGGACGGATGGGGTTGCTTGCAGGGGTGGATGAGTGGGTGGGAGGGTGCAAGGTAGAGGCATGTCGGGAAGCAGGAATGTATGCTCTAGTCTGAAGGATGCGTGATGCTTTGAGTGGATAAGAGGTGATGGAGGCAGGTGGAGATAGGGAGCACATGGACAACAGTGCAAAGAGTAGGGGAAAGTAGCCGAGGACCAGGGGAGGGACAAAATTCACAGCAGCAACAGTGTGAGTGCATGTTGTTAGCACATGTTCACGTGTGTAAATGTGCATGTGTGCATGAGTGCAAATGTGCAAATGTGCATGTGTGCATGCGTGCATGCATGCATGGCACCTGGTGCGAGGCATAGACGGCAGTGAGTGTGACTCTGAAGCCCCATGAGGAGATCAGCTGCCGGGCTGCCTGAATGCCATCCACCGTCGCTGGAATCTTGATCTGCCTCCCTCCACAGATAAAGGAGAATACACATCGGCACAGCACATGCACTTGAGCAAGGTCACGTGAAGACTACAGCGAAACCAAACCATGCCACAGAATGCCAAAGAGGGGTGAAAGCGGACATCAAACAGGCTATGGCAGCAGGGTGGCAGGAGAGGGGAGAGGGGGGAGGGTGACTACGCCTTTCTTTGCTGGAAGGGGTCTGTAGGTTTACCACGACACGTGGGTCGATGATGCCCAGGCGCTTGCCCGTGTCAACCATCTCCTCCACGGTGGCCCCCCACGTCTGCAGCTGAATCTCCTGTGCGCCCTGCTCTCACCGCATGGCAGTGCATGCATGGGCGTGTGCACGTGCATGTGTATGTGCATGTGGATGAGCATGCATGGAAACATGGGAATAAGGATGCGCAGCACAGGCGGAAGGTAGCGGGGTGACTACAGGGACTGAGGCGATAGGCAATGGCACTGGTGAGGAGTGAGAGGTGTGGGATGTAGGGTGGGGTGAGGTGTGTGGGGTGAGGGCGGTGGAAGCGATAGAGAGAAGGGGCGGAGAGAGGGAGGCTGGTACTTTCAGAGAAAAGAACCCATTTTCCTAGCCAAGTCTCCCATGTGACACGTCTCTGTACCTTGCCCCCCTTGCCTAGCCTGTACCCAGGGTTCAGCAATACTGAGGACCACTTGAGAGAGAAAAACCGAATCGGGAGGGGGAGTAAGAATGGTGAGGGGATTGGAGGGGAACGAGAACTTGGAATCATTTGACCTATGTTACGGTGCTGGGCAGGTTCAGAGTCCTGACCAGGTCAAAAGCCATGTGGGCCAGCTTTGCCAGGGCGTCCACGGAGCACTCCCTCCCTGCCCGCTCCAGGAGCAACGGGTTGGTGGTCACGCCTGGTGGGGGGGGGGCAAGTGGGGGTGGGAGGGGGGAGAGGAGCTAGCAGTTCTGAGAGAGAAACTGAGACGGGAAGTTGAGAGAGATAAGAAGCGAAGTGGGGGGGAGAGAGATGAAGAGACAGAGCGGGAAGGCCCGGGGGTTGGGGGGGAGGGGGGGTGAGAAAAGGAGGTGTGAGGGGAAAGGGGAACGAGCCCCGCCAGCTGTATCGAGAGGACAAGTTGAGGGTGCCACTGTGTGCCATGGCACTCTCAACTCACACCCAGCAACCACCCACGTTGAACCGCCCACGTTGAAGCGCCCACGTTAAACCGCCCACGTTAAACAGCCCACGTTAAACCGCCCACGTTAAGGCGCCCACATTAAACCGCCCACGTTAAAGTGCCCACGTTAAACCGCCCACGTTAAAGCGCCCACGTTAAACCGCCCACGTTAAAGCGCCCACGTTAAAGCGCCCACGTTAAACCGCCCACGTTAAACCACCCACGTTAAACCACCCACGTTAAAGCGCCCGCGTTAAACCGCCCACGTTGAGTTGCCGGCTCACCATGGAATATCCCTGTCGGAAGCCACTTATCCCATTCTGCCACGTCAGCAGTGTCAAGGAACAACCTCAGCCGTCCCCTGCCCAGCGCCAATAGCCTCTGTCCTAGCGCCGACCGATCGACCGCCAACGCCCCCGCACCTCCCCCGCCAGGCGCAGCGGCGGCGACGGTTGATTCCGCCATGGGTGGCGCGGGAGCGGGGCAGATGAGCGGGGAGGGAGCGCGGCGGTGGTGGCGGATCAGCCGGGCTCTCTGGATGCGCTCCTGCTGGGACTGGGACAGCAGGGGCGCATCAAAAAAAAAAAAAAAAAAAACCCACATTCGCATCGGTGGTAAGGACATTGGCGCCTAGCGCCACCTGCAGCATGTCGCCTGCTGCAAGCACGAGGGAAGGATGGATGAGGGCATGGACGAGGGGAGATGATATGAGGATGAGATGAGCGCCTTCGTGCCAACTGGAAGGACTCAGATGAACCGAGCGCCTACAGCAGGGCTCACTCGCCCAATGATGCGTCGGTGCTAAGGACCTTGGCGCCTAGCGCCACGTGCAGCATGCCACCTGCTGCGAGCAGGAAGGGAAGAGGGACGAAGAGATAGGTGCCTTCAGAGGGTCACCTGCATTCGATGCAAGCAACAGGGGGGCGGAAAGATGAGACGAGGATGAGACGAGCGCCCTTGCGCTCACCGGAAGGGCTCTGCTGAGTGCCTGCAGGGGCTCGCTCGCTCGGTGCAGAAGACTCAAGGGTGTTCCCATCCCAACGCCACCTGCTCATGATACTGGCCGAAATGGAAGGATGGGAAGAGCGTGATGGGTGGCGTGCCAAGTTCCAACGTGTATCAGGTTAAGAGCACTGGTACTGCTGAGGCGCCTCAAGTATTGAGAGGAAAGGAGAGAGGATGAGCAGTGCGGTGAGTGGGGTGCAGCCGACTTGTATCAGCGTAGAGAAGTGGGTCACGTGCGTGAACTCCGCTGGGCATTGCGGCTGAGGCATACTACCATGTCTCAACGTCCGTTGAGTGGACCAACGAAGACATGCCTGCTGGGAAGCCAGACTCACCACAGATCTTGCTGACTCACCTCAGGTCATGCGACGCAACCCCAATAAGAAAAAAGAGCGAAAGCCCACATTTCGTTCCACTTGGCATGATAGCTGTCACGACGAAGCTGTTACGAGCCCACATTTCGGCATAAGCCACCAAATCAGCCATAACGCACCAGCGGACGCCCACTGGCGCGTAGTACGCCGCGGCTTTCGGCGACTCGTCTGCTTCCTGACAGACGGGGACTCGGAGACGAGGAGAGAGCGATCGATCCACCGTGGAGTGAAGTAGCGGGCGCCGCGTGGTTGTGATGGAGAATTTTCACAACAGGGACACTGGCTGCCCCGGGAAGGACGGCCATAGGTGGAAGGAGAGGGATTAGAGGATGTGGGGGGAGGAGTGAAGGAGATGGAACGTAAGACGAGACTAGAGAAACAAGGGAGGCTGAAGGATTGCATGAAGCAGACGTTCGCTTGGGAATGCTTCGACACTAGTTAACTAAGGTTGTTGCTACGAGCATAAGAATGTGATTCCAGAAACCGATGATAAAAATGGTAAGCAATGCTATACTACATGCACTATGAATGAAGATGCGAGTTTAAGAGAAGAAAACAATAGCGAACCAAACCATAGATTATGCCATTCGTCCCTACATCTCCGACGTTATCTGTGATGGACAGAGCCTGTTAAATTTTGCTCACTGTCGTTAGAATAAGTAAGAGGAGGCTGTCATTTATTGTGACAATATTGTGATAGGTATGGCTGCAAGCAGATCAGCCTTGAGGATTGAAGTGTATATGGGCATGTTACACCATGTTACTGTACCCAGGGAGTGTTCTCCCCAGGAGTGAGGTTGTTTTGCGACATTGGCTCTACGGACAGGATGTTGTGATCCCCATTTTTTTCTGCGATCTCTATCGTACAAGACTTGGCATTATCAGCTAGCCCTATTAGGGAACAAGGAAAGTGTACCGAGGGTCTAGCTAGAAGACCCAAGGAGAGAAGACCTTGGGTCCAAGGGGAAACTGACGGTGTCTGCCAGGTATCCGACTATTCCAACATTACTTCGCGCGGATGATCGCCTGCCAATGTAGGACCAGTAAAACTCAACTTGTAGCAAGCTAGAGTGCTTTTGGTTCAGCCGCGGGTCGACCTCGGGTTTGACGTGACATTCGCTCCGGAAATACCCTAATTCCCACGTGGTACCTCCTCGGAGAGAGCCAGCACTTGGGCTGACCTGGACGAGATGGGATGGGATGGGATGGGATCATGGGATGGTCTGGGAAATTGTACAGCACAGTATCAAATTCCAATCAGGTCTGCGGTGCGGTGAGGGCTTGTGTTGAGGGGTAGGTAGGAAACTGAAAAGAGGGCCGTCCGGAAGACACAGGAATGCAAATACACTTTGTTCCCTATATGATTTTACCCGTTGCTAAATATAACACTCATATTTTAGTTTGGCCCTGCCTATGTCCCCCTATATAGTGTCGAAAGATAAGTTTACAGTGATGTTATCCAGCCACTGGGAAGTGGTATGTATCTCAAGAATCTGAGAATTAGCCGAGCATGCTTGGCATGATTACGCACGGCTCGGCTTGGTGGTTTAGCGAAGTTCAAACGATTTTTGTTGTGAACACTCGCCAGTCATTGGGCCTAAAGAACCCCACGTCAGATTTCTGAAAACCGAGTGTTGTCCATTCATGCTGTTGAGCGGCGAATAGAGCATCCACATAAGCAGGAAACGTACCCCTGATTGCTGATTTGGTAGGCCCTTGAAACAATTGCGCCTAAGTCCACGAACCTCCGATGTGCGACGTACCAAACCGAGCTAACTGCTTGTGATTCAGTATTTCGTATTTAGATGACACGTCTTTGGTGTTGGTCGTTCATTCCTACCCCAGTAACCGAAACTGGCCCTTTTTTCACTTTTCGAAAATGCCCCTGCATCAATGGCAGGGCTCAGATCCCGATTCTTACCAAGCGCGATATCTTTAAGCATGCGGCTGCGAACCCACACCTCCAGCCGCATTCTTCTTCTTCTTCTTCTTCTTCTTCTTCTTCTTCTTCTTCTTCTTCTTCTTCTTCTTCTTCTTCTTCTTCTTCTTCTTCTTCTTCTTCTTCTTCTTCTTCTTCTTCTTCTTCTTCTTCTCCTTCTTCTTCTTCTTCTTCTTCTTCTTCTTCTTCTTCTTCTTCTTCTTCTTCTTCTTCTTCTTCTTCTTCTTCTTCTTCTTCTTCTTCTTCTTCTTCTTCTTCTTCTTCTTCTTCTTCTTCCATCGTTCATTACGGTCGCTTAGGTGTTTGCCGCGTACATGGAGTCGATCAACGTCGCCATATATGCAGAGGGGCGTTCGATCGTTCTATTCGTCGATAACACCTCTAGCCGTCGCGTCAACTCCCCGGGCACGCTTACCGAGGACCTCTTCGGTTTCTGCACCTGCAAAATCAGTAACTTGCGGGTGATGTATCTCCCGCCCAACACCACCTCATTCATCCAGCCACTCGATTAGGGCCTTATTGCAACTGCAAATGCGCGGTATCGAGTAAAGTGGCTAGCGGAACTCACCCAGATGCGGGAGGCGCATGACTGCCCGGCGGAGCTTCAGCGCATAAAGCCTTCGATGCGCCATATTGTCATATGGATTCACGACGCCTGGTTTAGCATCGAGCAGCGCACCGTCGAGTGGTGCTGGTGGCATGCTCGTATCCTCCCCACTTATTGGATGCCAACGGAGGTGCAGACCGAGTCCCCAGCCCATGACCCAGGTGACACGGAGCCCGAGCTCGAGGCGCTCGTTGCTGTGATTCCCCGCCTCCAGCTCTTGTCGTCGGCAATGGCGGCAGCGGAGTTCCCCGCAGTCAACGAGAACCACCCGACGTGCGATTTCGAGAGCTCCGACCCGCTCACCGTCGAGCTCCCTCATATCCCCCACCACCCAGCCGCGCGCGAGCCTCTGTTCGACTTTATCGCAGGGGTCCAAGCCCGGGCTCTCCGCGACGTAGCTCGTTGTGCGTCGGAGACGCTTGTCGGCTATGCTCAGGCGACGGGCATTAGCTTGAATGACCTCCGCCACGTGTTCGACATCCGCAATCATTTGGTTGTCGACAGGTTGCCACGGGTGTCAGAGAATGCTCTGAACCTAACCCCCCCCCCCCCCCCCCACCCCCCCCTGCCCGTCCTGCCCCCTACCCCCGCCGCCGCCCTCAACAACCCTGGTGCTATCGTGGCGCGCCTCTGCTTGCGCCGTGTGGCGGGGGATTTGGATGGCCATGCCAACGACCCCGACCTTTTCGACTTCTGAGGTCACTGGCTCATACGACTGCCCACCTGTACCCCTATCCTCTAAAGTCGGCGCCCTTTGCAACCCTGCCCTCTGTTACTCCCCTCTCCCCTCTCATTCATTCTTCTCTCCCTTGTTTCTCTAATCTCCCCCCTGTTTCAGTCTTCTCTCCCCTGTTTCTCTAATTTCCCAATTGTTTCACTCATCTTTCCCTTGTTTTCCCAATCTCCCCCCTGTTTCACTTTCCTCTTCCCTGTTTCCCAAGTCTCCTCCCTGTTTCGTCTTCTCTCCCTTGTTTCTCTTATCCCTCCCCTCTTTCACTCATCTCTCCTTGTTTCCCTTATCCTCTCCCCTGTTTCACTCATCTCTCTAGTGTTCGTATAACCTCTCCTCTGTTTCGGTCATCTCTCCCCTCTTTCTCCCATCTCCCCCATGGTTGCCAATCATTTCGAAGCACTCTTATCGTGTCGGGCGAGAACTTCGGCTCGAATGGCATGGGTCGTTATGCGTCACAAGTCGCAAGATTACATGTGTTGTCTTTCTTAGTACATCACACGAGTCTAAGCTATGCTCGATCGAGAGAGGGCAGTGTTTTTTTGCGTCGTTCCCGTGCTTCCCTGTAGTGTCACTTGATTTGTGTGCTATGGGAAGGTAGAGATGCTGTTTGACAGTGAAGCATGTTGTGCCTGTCGAGCGAGGGCACGGTGTTTCAAACAGTGTAACTTGACAGTTGTGGGTGGAGGATGGTTGACTGTTCTGCTGGTTATTGGGTTGCCCTTTGTTGGCCAGTGCCTATATTGTACTCGTCGGCCTTTGTTGTAACCAGTGCCTCTTTTTGGGCTGTTTCTTTTTCTTTCGCTAATTGTGTGCCGGATAATATTCACCTAAAGAACGTCAAGTTGTGTTATTTGGCGAATATCGCTCAGCACTTGTGGGCTCTCTTGGCAAACTGCCGGTAACATTGGGTGTTCCGCTAGAGTTAACGTATGTTACCCCTCAATCATTACCGCCACGTGCCGATTTCCCCGCTAATGTCGATTTTGCCAGCGTTACAAAAGTATCGAGATTTAGTTATGCGCCGCTTGATTTCGCTATGAAACACGAAAAGAAAACAGGTGTAGTTTTACAAGAAACAGATCTTGCCACGTCGCGCACGCCAATTGGGAGAATCGGAGCTAGCCAATCGAAGCGGATTCGTCGAACCGTCGATCTCACAAATCGTGCCTTTCTGGACGAACTAACTGACAGCGGCAAATGGGGTTTTGGTTCAAGGGGTAAGTTTCATGTGTCGTAAACTCTAAGGTAATTGATGGCCTATTTAGGAGCTTTCCCGAATTCTATTCGAGGTTCAATGGCAAGATTATGGAATCCTTTATTATGTAGGAGCGGACCCTAGCCTAGCTCCATGCAACCATTCTTCCCCTAAGCCCCTAAAAATCTTCGTGGGTGGTCGGCAAATCAAAAATCACACTGGAATGGGGTCCTCCCCAAGTATCGTTCTCATTTCCTCTGCCTGCTGTCTTGCGTTGTAATCTTCTCCAAATACCTGCCGTATAAAGGCTACAATTGAAAATACTCGTAAAATACTTCCTCTGGTTTCCATGGGCAGATCGAGTCGCCCGTGCTTTACTCGGTAAGATCACATCCAGATACGATTTTGGATTGTGTGTCTGTCGTTTTGTCGAAAACAGGTTCCCGTGCGGCACTTAATCCACACTATGCAACACACAAGCCCAGACACGATCCCCTACAACACCTGCTGCCGCCTCTGCTCTCGAATCAAAAACCTCACGAGTTTCCCACACCCATCAAATCAATGTCCAAGAGGCCCGCCGCATTGTGCACCCGCTGCGTCTACCCCTTCAGATATCCCTTTCCCCCCCCCCCCAACCTTGAAAGTTCGAGGTAGAATATCGAGGATACTCATAATCGCAACCAGAGCTCGATGGTTTAAAACTGTAGTACTAGTTCCCACTTCACGAGTTTTGGGGTCTCCTCGCCACGTGAGTTCCGACATAATGTCCTGGATTTCAGGCCCGCTAGCCACCCGGAGCTCGTTGTGTTTTTTCAGAGTCACCACACAAGCGTTCTTTCCAATAACCGCCCTCCTCTCGCAAGGCATATACCTATTCAATCCCCCATGCCATCTCCCATTTCCTCCTCCCAACTCTCCACCCTGTGGGGCGGCGCCCCTATCTTCGATTCACCCCTTCACGCACGACGAATCCTCTTAGTCAGCTCAGCAGCAGTTGCCCCCTCCTCGTTGCCGCACTTGCCCTTGGACTTGAACCGCATCTCCTCTGCCTCCAACCAAACCAGGTCAGCCCTCCAACCCAACCAACCAAACCAGCCAGCCCAGCCTCACTTGCCATCTCCCGCAAAAAACCCTTTCCCCTGCTGCTGCCACTGTACAATTACCTATTCCTTGGCAGCCCAAGTCTCCCCTTTTCTCCAGAAACGGACCACGTGCGCTCGCCCTTTTTTCTGGCGGATCCCACTCCACACGGCTTAGGAGTCCGGCGGGACTCATCACCCCCTTCGAGCCGAAACAGAGGCGGACAGCAAGCCACAGCGGCTCTCCTACTTCCTCGTTGCAGGGAAACATGCTTATCCTCCCAACCAAGCTGATTTTTCGAACTTCCCACCACCACCTCACTAACTTATTCAACGTAGCGGGTTTTGGCTGTTTGCATCCAGTCCCACGGCAGTCAGACTTCTCGCCTCTCTCGGCAGATCGAACCCACTAGACTTAGTACGTTCATTCGAGGAGCTTGTCTCCGGTCCGCGTCCACCGGCATCGCGTCTTCATGTTGCCTCCAATAACGTCCACCATTTTCGTCCGGAGTTTCCTTTGAGCCCGTCGGACTGCCCTTTCCCGCACCAGCTTGAAGCGTAGTAACGGCTGCGACCACGCGAGATACCCGCGGTCTCGTCCAGTGGACGCCGCCATGGCGGCCGTAGAGTAGAATCAGCTTTCTACTAGTACTACTACTGCCATTACTACCACTAGTAGTAGTGGAGCCAGTAGCGTCACGCGCGTCATCAAACGCCACCAGCAGTACCAGCAGCTGCAGGAATGATGAGCTTTCCGTCGGTGCGCAATCCGCGGACCTTGGAGTTGCGCCGCGCGGTGAAGCAATGAGCTGCTGCTGCTTTGGGGCCACTTGCACCACCCTTCCATCTTTATAAGACTCACTCTCTCTCTCTCTCTCCACTGGAGATCCAAGCCCTAGCACGCCTTGCTCCTCCCCGCCCGATTCATATAGTCGTCCGCCGCCTGTTCGTCATTCCACATACCGTACTAGCGACTGAGCGCCGCGGATGGTTTCAGAGTTCGCCAGCCGCGCAGCTGACGAGTCGGAGCCGTCAACAGCCGGCGGCCGCGGGCGGCGTTGCGGCTGCTTCAACCCGACCACGATCCTGGGCGAAGTGCGTTGCACCGCGCGGAGCGATCGCGCACGGCGGTAATCGCTGCTAGAACGAGTTAGGATAACCGACGCGCCGACCAAGAGCGTGAAGCTGGAGTCGCCTGGAACCCGCAGATCCCCCGCATCCGGCGCTGCATTGCCGCTGGCGGCAGTAACCTAGTAGGTTACCACCAGTTGGAGCCTCCGTCCTAGTAGTAGGTCTCCGTCCTAGAAGCTCCTCTAAATCTTCCCGATAAAGGCTGGAGCGACAAGCACGACACGGCGACGCGATAGTAGCGTACGCGCGAGAGGAGAGGAGGCGGCGATGGTGGCGTCGCGCGAGGAGGTGGAGGGCATGTCGAAGGAGCAGCTGGTGCACGAGGTGCTGCGGCTGTCCGCGCTCGTCGAGGAGCGTGAGCGACACCAGAAGCAGGAAGGTGCGCGCACGCGCGGGGAAGGGGAGAGGAGAGGGGAAGAGGTTAGGGGAGGGGAGGGTATGGAAAAGCTCTAGGGTTTGGGGAGGCGATCTAGCTCTAGAATTGGCGCCCTCCCTCCCCCGGTTTTCCCACATATTCTCCCGTTCCCCACTCCCCCCTCCTCCCTCCCCCCATCGGTCTCCCGTGTTCTCTAACGCCCCAGACAGGTTGTCGCTCCTCTTGCGCCCCTCTTTCTCGTCGTCCTCTCCCTACCTCCCTCCCTCGTCCCTCCTTCTCTCTTACACACGCTTCACTCTCAACCTTCTCCTGGTCCTCCTCCCCTCTTCTCCCCCCCCCCCCCCCCCCCCCCCCTTCTCTTCCCCCCCGCCTGCCTCTCTGCGCGTGTGCAGTGGATTTCCAGCGTGATTTATTGAAGTCCGTGGGGCAGTCCATTATAGTCACGGACCTAGAAGGCCACATCACCTACTGGTATGCCAAGTCTTGCTATGCCACGTCACCTGTTGGTATGCCACACCCTGCTACGGTGCGCAAACGAGTGGGGGAAAACAGGCAGCACTCCCTGCCTCCCTGTGGGGGCAAACACATGGCTGCTGAATCACCTCCTCACCACCAACCAGCCTCCTTGCCTCTTTCGCTTCTCTCGTCCCTCCCACCCCTCCTACCTCCTCCATCACCACCCCCTCCCCAAACCTCACCCTTCACACCTCGCCCTTCCCTCCTCTCATCTCCTCTCACCCCTCCGCGCGTCCTCCCTCCCGTCCCCTCCCCTCCCTCTCCCCCCCCCCGCCCCCCGGCCCCTTCCCAGGAACCGCGCGGCGACGGAGATCTACGGTTGGGAGCCGGAGGAGGTGCTGGGGCGGCTGGTGTTCGAGGTGCTGGCGCTGCCCGCGGAGGACATGAGCGAGTGCGGCGTGCAGCTCTTCGCCGCGCTCTCCAAGGGCGAGAAGTGGTCCGGCGAGTGGTCCGTGCGCACCAAGGGCGGCGACATCATCGACATCATGGTGCGCGCGGGAGAGCAAGTGGGGCGCGGGTAAAGGGGGAAAAGGGGGGGGTGGGGGGAAGTTGGGGGAGAGGGTAAGGGGGGAGGGGCTGCTGGGTGGAGAGGCAGTGGTCCGTGCGCACCAAGGCGGGGGGTGGTCGGAGCTCATCGATATCATGGTGCAGGAGGGGGGAGTGAGCAAGTGGGGATGGGAGAAAGGGGGGGGAGAAAGGGGGGGAGGAAGGGGGGGGGGATGGGGTTGTGTGGAAGAGGGGGGGTGCTGGGTGGAGAGGTGGTTTGAGAAGGGGGGCGGATGGCTGGGTGCGCGGAGTATGGGCGCAGCGGTGGTTGCTGTTCTGGGAGGGTTCGTTGGTGGATGAGGGGGTTTTTCTCTGTTGGCGTTGTGCTGGCGGGTGCACCTCATGTATACACCCACCCCCCCCACCTCCCCCTTCCCCCCCTTCTCTCCCCCCTCCGCGAATGTGGCGCCCAAGGTGGTGGTCGCTCCAGTAATAAATTAGGGCAACCAGCTCTCTTTCCCCTCCCACCTCTCTTCATCTACCCCTTCCTCTCCGCCCTCTCTTCCTCTCCCCCTTCTCCCCTCGCCTCCCCCTGCAGGTGGTGGACACGCAGGTGATGGACGAGGGCAACCAGCTGGTGGGGGTGGGGTGATGGGCGTGAGCACGGACATCAGCGAGCTGAACGCACTTCAAACCCAGCCCGTCTCCACGCCCCATCGCCTCTTCCCCTTCCGCTCTTCAACCCGCCTTTCATCTCCTCCCTCAAACCACTCCCATCTCTCCTCCACCCGCTCTCCCCCCCTCCCCCCGGCCCCCCCGTTTAGGTGGTGGACACGCCGGTGATGGACGAGGCGAACCAGCTGGTGGGGGTGATTGGCGTGAGCACGGACATCAGCGAGCTGAAGCGCAAGGAGGCGGAGATCCTGCGGCTGAACGCGGAGCTGGAGCAGCGCGTGGCGGAGCGCACGCAGCAGCTGCAGGAGAGCAACCGCCTGCTGCAGGAGGAGGTGCAGGAGCACCTCCGGGCCAGGGAGCACCTGCACTGCGTCGCCCGGGTGGGTTGCTGCTGCCGCCGCTGCTGCCGCCGCCGCTGCTGCTGCTGCTGCTGCTGTTCTTGTTGTTGTTTGAGCAGCACTGAGGAGCCCTTTGGAGTCGACTCAAATGTTATCCAGGAGGAAGGAAAGGGGGGGAGGGGGGCAGGTGTTTGAGTGAGTGAGTGCGATTGGTTTGTTCTCCGCTCCTTTCCAACAAGCAACGACTCCTCGTCCTCCTCATTTTCCCCCTCCTCATTTTCCCCCTCCTCATTTTCCCCCTTCCTCATTTTCCCCCGTCCTCATTTTCCCCCTTCCTCATTTTTCCCCTCCTCATTTTCCCCCTCCTCATTTTTCCCCTCCTCATTTTTCCCCTTACCACCCCCCCTCTCTCCTCCTCCACCCCCCCCTGGCGCGGTGGCAGGACATGGAGGCATCGCGGTCGAAGATCCTGGAGCAGGCGAATCGGCTGGAGAAGCTGGTGGTGGAGCTCAGAGCCGCCCGCCTCGAGGCCGAGTCCGCCTCCCGCCTCAAGAGCCAGTTCCTCGTCAGTCCGCCCGCTGCTCCCTGCCCCCTTGCTCCCATGCTCTCCTGCCCCCTTGCTCCCATGCTCTCCTGCCCCCTTGCTCCCATGCTCTCCTGCCCCCTTTCTCCCGTGCTCTCCTGCCCCCTTGCTCCCATGCTCTCCTGCCCCCTTTCTCCCATGCTCTGCCCCTTGGGTATCTCCCCTGCTACCTACTCGTCTCTTCTCGTCTCCGATCCTCTCGTCTTCCCTGCTCTGCTGTCCATCTCTCCTCTTGTCATCTCACGTCACATTCTCTGCTTCTTTCCACCAGCCAGTGCCGTCCTCACACACACATCAGCACAGTCTCAACCTCTCTTTGCTTCCCCTCAGCAGTCTCGTCCCCCCCCCTTCCCCCCTCCCTCCTCACGCTGTCGCCCCCCCCCCACTTATCCTTATCTCTGCAACATACCCCCTAACTTCTCCACCCTCTCATCCTCTCCCCCCTCTCTTCCCCCACCTCCCTCTCTCCCCCCCTCTCTCACTCCCCTCCCCCCCCACCTCTTCCCCCACCTCCCTCTCTCTCACTCCCCCGCTCCCCCCTCTCCCCACCCAGGCGTGCATGAGCCATGAGATCCGCACGCCAATGAACGCAGTGATCGGCATGACGAACCTAATTCTCTCCACGCCGCTGACGGAGGAGCAGCAGCAGTATGTGCACACGATCCGCACGAGCGGCGACGCGCTGCTGGCCATCATCGACGACATCCTCGACTTCAGCAAGATTGAGGCGGGCGAGCTCGCCCTCGAGCGCTGCCCCTTCTCGCTCATGATGTGCCTCGAGGACGCTGTCGACATGTTCGCTGTGAGACACATGCATGCCCTCATGCCCTCATGCCCTCGTGTCCTCATGCCCTCGTGTCCTCGTGCCCTCATCATACCCACTTGTCCCGCGGCTGGTGCTCACTCCCTGTACCCTTATCTACCCATGCTGCACACTGCCTCAACCTGTCCTCTTCCCCCTCCCCCCCCCCCTGTCCCCCCAATGCCCCCCCAGCTGAAGGCGCTGGACAAACGGCTGGAGCTGGTGTCGTTCGCGGACCCCTCGGTGCCGCCCATTGCGCAGACCGACCCCGCTCGAGTCAGACAGGTGCGAGCTGACATGGGGACGGTTGGGTGTGTGTGAGGTGAGGGGCGGGTGCGAACAGCGGTGTGGATGGTGGTTCAGGGTACGTTGGGATGAAGGATGCAGGGTTGGATTGGGCACAGCTGGGCTCTGAGTGACCATGCCTGGTGTGTTCCTCCCATTCTCCTTTTCCTCTCATGCTCCTTTTCCTCCCATCCTTTCTTATCCCTCCATTCTCTTTGCCTTCCGAGTCTCACCCCTATCCCACTGCCTACCCCGCCCTTCCCTGCCCCTCCCTGTCCGCCCACCGCCCTGTTGGCCGCGCACCAGATCCTGGTGAATCTCATTTCCAACGCGCTCAAGTTCACGCACCAGGGGGAGATCGTCATCCGCGCCCGCGCCACCCCCTGGCCCTCCAAACCCGCCTCCTCCTCCCACCCGTCGCCGCATCCCTACGCCCCCCCTCGCTCCCGCCCCCACACAGTCGACGCCACCACCATTGCCCCTGGCTCCGCCGCTGCTGTTACCTCCACCACCGGCCATCAGGCAGGGCTATTTCCCATCAACCCGTCTGCACAACCTGCCGCAACCACCCCTGGCACCACCACCACAGCCGCACCCTTCTCCATCTTCTCTTCCTCGTCCTCCTCCTCGTCCTCCTCCACAACCTCCCTCTCCACCCTCCGCCCCAGCTCGCCCTACCTCTACACCTCCTCGTCCCTCCTCTCAGACTCCACCCTCCCCAGCCACGAGCTGCATATCACCGTCACAGACACCGGCATCGGCATTCCCCCCGACCGCATGTCACGGCTCTTCCGGCCGTTCAGCCAGGGGGACGCGAGCACCACGAGGAAGTTTGGGGGGACAGGGCTGGGGCTCGTGATCTCGAAGCAGCTGGCGGAGATGCTGGGGGGAAGGATGTGGGTGGAAAGCGCAGGGGAGGACCGCGGCTCCACGTTTCACTTTACCATTGCGCTGTACCCTCCGCCGCCTTCAGAGCCGGTTCTCCCAACCCCTGCTCCTGCTGCTGCTGCACCTGCTGCTGCTGGTTGTGCTGCTCCTGCGTTTCTGCCTCTGCCTGTTCGTGCTCCTGCTACTGCTGCTCCTCTCGGGGCTGTGCCCTGCGCTGCCGCTGCTGCAGCCGCTCCTTTGACCACCTCGCATCGAGCAGTGGCATCCCAAATCCCTCCTCCTTCAGCCACAGCCGCCACCACTGCTGTCGCACCAACCGCCGCTGCCACTACCAGTGGCATGACCACCACTGGCACCACCACTGCTGCTGCTGCTGCTGCTGCTGCTGTTCCTCCTGGGGTTACCGTGGCAGGTAGTACCATCGATGCTGCTGCTGCTGCTGCTGCTGGTGCAGCTACTGTTGACAGAGGAGGTGCGAGTGGAGCGAGGGGAGGGCGAGGTGTGAGAGCAGCAGCAGGGGGGATGGCGGAAATAGGGTCGCACGCGCGGGTGGAGGCGGAGTGGGAGCAGCGGCAGCGGCTGCGGTCAGCCCTGTACCACCAGAGGCTGATGGAGAGTACGGGTCTGGTTCAGGCTCAGGCTCAGGGTCAGGTGCCAGGCGTGCATGGGAGAGGAGAGGGGCAGGTGGTGGAGGGTGCGACTGCAGTGATGGATGCGGGGGTGACACGAGAAGGAGATGTTGGGATAAGGGCAGGGGTTGCGCCAGGGGTTGCGCCAGGGGTTGCGCCAGGGGTTGCGCCAGGGGTTGGGGCAGGAGCAGGGGCAGGGAGTGGAGAGTGCAAGAGTGGTGCTGTTGTTGACGGTGTGGACATGGATGTGGTGGGTGATGGGAGGAGGGGCAGCAAGCGCAGGCGAGAGGAGAGTGGGGAGGGCTGGAGGGGGGTGGACACGGAGGGGAGACGAAGGGCCATGGGGGATGGTGAGAGCATGGTGGTGGGAGCAGGGGAGACGCAATGTGGTGCGGGGGGAGCGAACTTGGCAGGTGCAAGAGGTGGCGGTGACAGACCCCTGCAGACCACTGCTGCGGGATCAACTGAGGGGAGTCTGCAGGAGAGCCAATTGACCACCCTGCAATGTGAGGCAGGGGGGCCTGCTTCCGCCACGGCCACCGAGCAGCAGGGCAGAGAGGGCAGAGAGGGCGGAGAGGGCAGAGAGCACGCGGGTGTGGAGGAAGAAGCAGGGGCAGAGCAAGTGCAGGAGGCACGGCGACCTGTGTCAGAAGCGGCAGAGTCACAGGCGCTGCCTGCAGCAGCCCAGCAACAGGCACACGCCCGTGCTGCCACTTCCGCCACTCCGGCCGTTGTCTCCCAACCACCACCCACTCCCTCCCAACACCTCGGGCAGCCAGTCGACCAGCACCACTCACATGGCACAGAGCCCTTCCAACAACCCTCCCCCTCCCCCTCCCTCTCCCCCCGCTTCCCCCACACTGCTCCGCACTCCTCTCAGCAGACTTCCCACCACACCTCCCCACGCATCAACCCCCCAAACTCGCAGCCCACGGAACCCCCCATGGATCACCATCCCAAGGATTCCCAAACAAACCCCCCAACATACCCCTCCACAGACCCCCCACAGACCCCTCCACATACCCCCCCACAGCCCCCCCCACTTCCACGGACTACATTATGGACCCCAGTGTGAACCCGTCGGCCATGGTGACCCTGCGCCCCATCCGTGCGGTGCAGGGGCACACGGCGCTGGTGGTGGACGACTGCGCGGCTGTGCGCACCATGGTGTCCACGCACCTGCAGGCGCTGGGCTTTGCCACGCGCGAGCTCAACAGCGGCGCACAGCTGCTGGAGGAGGTGGCAGCGTGTGACGTCAGCCGCGCACCCAGCCTCGTAGTTGTGGATGCCGAGGTGGGTGGGGCTGGGGGCGGTGGGGGCTGCAGGTGGGCGTGGTTGTAGGTTGGGGGGTGGGTGCGGGTGTGGTGTGGGTGTGGGTGTGGGTGGGCATGGGTGCTGTAGGGGAAGACGAGGAGGAGTACCCAGCAGGCAGCGTCCTGTAGGAAAGAGGACGCCTGAGGCGCACCTGCAGGCGCTGAGCTTTGCCAGCAGGGAGCTCACGAGCGGCGCACAGCTGCTGGAAGAGGTGGCAGCGTGTGACGTCAGCCGTGCACCCAGCCTTGTGGTTGTGCATGCAGGGGTGGGTGGGTGTGGGTGGGTGGTGGTGCAGGAGGGGCAGGGAGCAGAGAAATGTGTGGAAGGCAGTAGTAGCCTGGAGGGAAGGTGGCACTAGAGCGCTGGGCGTTCAGGTTTCTTATGAATAGCATCACTCCTCTTCCATTCTTCTGCCCTTCACTTCTCCACTCATATGCTGTGCGTGTGTGCGTTGGTGCGTGTGTGCGTGCTCTCCTCTGCTAGATGCCTGGCATGGACGGGCTGACAGCGGTCAACAAGCTCAGCAGCTTGCCACAAGCAGATGGCCTGCGCGTCTTGCTGCTATGCCCCTATGGCACCGCCAACCAGGTACGGCAACCCACAACCACACTGACAGCACACAGATAGCGCACGCACAGGTACCACACGCACTCACATGTTCTCCCGATCTCGTCTTCCCTCCCTTCCTCTTTCTGCCCTCCCCCGGACCTCATCTCTCCCTTCTCCCTCTCCCTCACCCCCTTCTCGCCCTCTCGCCTCCTCTCGCCCCCTCCCCCCCACCAGTTGCGAGTGACCGCCCCCAACATGAGCATGGCATAGGTGATTTTTGAGAATTCTCAAAAGCTCACCTTGCTGCTGCGCGCCTCAAATATCTTTCTCCTGCTCCCTCCTCTCCCTCTCCCTCCTCTCACGCGCCCTCCCCCTGCCAGGTACGGGTCTCGGCGCCCAACATCAGCATGGCTGCGCTCACCAAGCCGCTGCGCCAGTCGCTCTTCACACGCGCTCTGCTCCTCGCCTTCCCTCCCCTCGCCACACCTCCATCCCCATCCCCCCGTGCTCATCTGCACCAACCCACGCCTGCTTCCTACACCCCTACTGCTGTTGCTGCTGCTGGTGCTGGTAGTGCTGCTGCTGTCGCTCGCAGCCACGACCACTCCAGCCAGCACTGTGTCTCACCCCGGCCGTTCCCTGTGCCTGCTGCCTCTGCTTCTGCCCCCGCTGCTGCCAATGCTGCGACCACTCCTGCTGCTGCTGCTGTGCCCATGGCTGCCAGTATACCTCGCAGCAGTGATGGTGGTGGTAAGGGCTCGAAAACTGATTGTGGTGGCGGTGATGGGGTGGATGGCAGGGCTGCTGTGTGTGGTGGTGGTGCTGTTGCTGCCGCAGCGGCAGCAGCTTGTGGCAGGGGCAGCAATGTCAGCAGTGGTGGTGCTGTGAGTCCTCGAGGAGGAGCAGCAGGAGCAGGAGGAGGAGGAGCAGGAGGAGGAGGAGCCGGAGGAGCAGGAGGAGGAAGTGCACAAGGGCGGGGAGTCGGGGTACGGGCCGAGTCCGCAGTAATGCCGAGAAGGAACAGCTGGCAGAATCTAATATCAGTAGGGGTGGCGAATGAGCGCACGACACCTGGCGGATTCATAGTGGGGTTGGCAGACAAGCATCCTCTGAAGATACTGCTTGTGTGAGTTGGGGTTTTGGTGGGCGTGGGTGGGTGAGAGGAAGGCTGGAACCACGGAGTTGATGTCTGCTCACCTCTCCTTGTAATGTTTCATCTGTGAGGATGGTCCTTCACACATGCCAGCTTCAACTCACACAGTTCCTGTTGTGCGGCGGCACCTTAACTCACATCCAACCACACCCAACCCCCACCCAACCCCCTAACCCCACCCCCACCCCCACCCCCTCCCCCACCCATCCACGCCGTGGCATGTGTGTGCAGCGAGGACAACCTGGTGAACCAGCGCGTGGCGACGCGAATGCTGAGCAACATGGGGTACAGCGTGGACCTGGCGTCCAACGGGCTGGACGCCGTCAACGCGCTTGCGTGCAACACATACGACCTTGTCTTCATGGACATACAGGTGCGTGTGTGGTCGGACAGGCAGGGGGGCATGTGTGGACGTATGGGTGGGTGTGAATGGACTAGCAGGTGGGTACGTCCACAGTCCCGGACATGCAGGCAGGCATGTATGGTCTCCCCACACAGTGACACCGTGTGAGTTGTTGCTCTCCCTTCCCGTCCCTTCCATCTCTCTCCCCACACCTGCCCTCCTCCGCTTCCCGGCATGTGTGCTCCCCACTCAGCCATGCCCCCTCCCTCTCCCTCCCTTTCCCCCTTCCACATCTCGCCCCCCCCCCAGATGCCGGTGATGGACGGCATAGAGGCGACGCAGCGCATCCACCAGCTGGCGCAGCAGGAGGGGCGGGTGCGGCCGCGCATAGTGGCCATGACAGCCAACGTGCTGCACTCGGACCGCCAGCAGTGCCTCAGTGCCGGCATGGACGGCTTCCTCTCCAAGCCCATCCGCGTCGCCGACCTTGTTGCTGTGCTCGAACGCACACCCTCTGCCTCCGCTCCTCCTCCTCCTCCTCCTCCTCCTGCCGCTGCTGTTCCTGCTGCTGCTGCTTCTCCAACTGTTCCTGCTGCTGCCGCTGATACGGCTTCTGCTGTTGGTGATTCTGCTGTTGCTGCTACTGCTGGCACTGCTGGTGGAGTTGGTGACAACTCAGGGAGTGAAAGATGGGTGAAGGGTGATGCTTCCTCGTGCCCGGATAGCAACCACTGGCCCACAACAAGTAACAGCACAGCACAACTACCAGATGGCCTGACTAAGCGCGATCAATAAGCGGCCCTTGCAGGCAAGAGGGGGCTTTTGTATATTAGAGGTGTAGATTTTGTTCGTTTATAGGTGCAGCTTTTGTTTGGTTAAAGGAAGGGCCCATTCGCTGTCAGCCAGGGGATGCGCTCCTGAACTCAACGTAGCTTAGATGCCCACATGGATGTTGGATTAGAAATGTCTAGGGCTTGGGTACGAATTGGGCTCGCCTCACTCTCAACGAGCATTGTCCGGCATTCTCTTTCACCATTTTCCATACATACTGTTGGAAATATCTCAAGGACTTAAGCGTTTCTGAAGTGTAACACTGTACTCGAGGAAGACTACAGGGGAGCACGCGAGTCAACGGAGGTTACACGAGGGGGCGGACAAAGAATGCGAAAGGACTCGAAAGGTCGCAACTGGATTGCGACTGACCGTTACAACATCACGGATGGTAACCGAAGCGGCAATCGAGTCGCTGTGCGACTCGATAAACCGTTCCTGTAACTGTATTCTACAACTGCTTTCTTATCTACTATATATTGCTGTATGCTTGTTTCTTTAATCAATCACTTGTTCTCACATACTAGTACAAGGGTTCAACCGTCTCAACTTCCGCTGCACTACTCCAAGTCTCAAGTCTCTACAAGCTGGGACTTAGTCTCTGCAAAAGATCCTAAGGGCTTTTCTCAGCCCAACATGGTATGAGAGCTGGTCAGAGACCAAACTCCCAGCAACTACACTCCATCAACAACCAGCAACTCAACTTGATTCAACAACTCCATTGATTGCAAGACATGGACAACAAGGGCAAGAAAGTCTCTACGGGCTCACCCAGCGCCCAAGAAACTCAACACGGCAACTCTGGTCTGCACACCTCAGGACTGCAGACAGAGACCGGGACTGCTCAAGAAACAACGGGAAGAGTACCAGAGATGGTGACTCCGTCTCCCTCTTCAAGTGTGGACCCGAATCTCATGGAGAGATTCTTCAGCTTCATGTCACACTTCGACCAGCAGCAGCAGACAAGGACACCTGCGCAATCAACACAGAGCAATGGAGGGAATATGGGATTAGCACCGATGAGCCTCGACAACTCATCCTTCGGGCGACACAACCAAGCGCCTACCTTTGCGCCTTATCATTCTTCGCCGGGGACGTTCGAATTCATGCCGCCCCGTGCCCAGCCAACAGCAGCTGCATCACAACAAACACCGAATGAAATCTTAAGTTTACAGGCGCAGTTCTCACACGTGATCAAACTTCAGACATCCTCACCGTTCAACGGACACGACTTCTTTACCTGGAGCTTCGAGTTCGAGCTGCTGATGGAGGCCGCGCATCTTCTGGGATACTTCAACGGGTCCCTGCCATTCCCAAGCAACGGCACTGGGAAGGAACAAGAGATTTTCACGTATCAGTCACTGCTGGCGTACACGGTACTCCTGAGAAACCTGTCACCACAAGAGCAGCAGAGCATCAGAACGTATCGGAGTTATGGAAACTCCGCGGAGCTCGCATGGCACCACCTCAAGTGCCTTTACCAAGCAAACGACAGCGTGACACAAAGCAGACTCATGCAACAGCTGACAACAATACAGATGAAGACCGGGGAAAAAGCGATGCAGTATATGAGTCGCTGCCAGACCCTCCGCGACCGCCTGCTTCGGTGCGGAGGAACGATCACTGAAGAAAGCTTCGTGACACTTGTCCTCGCCGGGCTCGGGCCAGAATGGAGAACCACACGATCACTTCTTCGAGCCCACGGAAGAATTTCGGAGATGCACCTCTGCGCCGAGCTTCACGCTGAACAACAGGAGATGGATCTGTTCGAGGAAAGACAACCAAGGAAGCAACAGCAGTTAGTCTTCTACACTCAAAGAAGAAATGACAACAACTACAACCGACGCAGCAAGCAAGATCAACGCGACAACCGAGGACTCACCATCGTACCGCCGTTCTGCCACAACTGCCAGACTTCCGGGCACTCCAAAGTCAACTGCAACCGCCCTCGCGTTTACCGTGCAGCAGACCCACAAGTCACTTCCACTCAAGCAAGTCCTCCAAGGCGCTCTTCAACATCTGCACAACAAACACCCAACATCATCAACTGCATGGTACACATCGACAACTGCGCACCCGGTTCACCACCCACTTACGCACCAGACGAAGAGGAATTCCCGCCGCCGCGCTCGCAAGGACTTCAGGTCAACCCGACATACGCTGCAGTCGCCAACGCCGAACCCACCGGGCGAAACACCTGGTTCTTGGACAGCTGCTGCGGTCAACACATGTGCTCCTCGGGACGCTTCGTGCAACAGGAGAAACGACTCAACCGCGACGTCGTCATCACAGTCGCCAACAACGAAAACCTGAAGACAAACAGACAAGGCGTGGTTCAGTTACAATCCATGGAAACAAACGTAATACTGCAGCTCAACAAAGTGCTCATTGTCGACAACCTGGGATACAATCTACTAAGCGTAAGCCAACTAATGGCCAAAGGGATTCACCTGGAGTGCGACTCCTACTCCAACGAGTTCCGGCTTTACCACGGGAAGGGCGGCCTCTTCATCGGTCGTGCCCTCCTGAAGTCCGGTGTCTTCGTGTTGGACTTCGTCCCCGACCGCGGAACTGCCGACAGCGATGGCATCGTATCGTTCGCCGCCTGGACTCACCCGCCGGATCTTGATCCCGACTTCGACAGTGACGGCTTCTGGCACTCCAACACCATACCTGCAGCAGAGAGAACACGAGCATTAGCAGTTATCCGACAAGAAAGACAAGTACCCGCAAGTGTCCCAACAAAACCATCACCTGCAGTATCGGCAGCAGGACCCAGCCGAGCACCACCACCATCAACACGAGGACCGCCAACGGAAGCAGACCAACTTATGCCCGCCACACGAGAAGCTTGTCGAAGTCCCGCCTCGGTCGTCGCGTTCTTCTCCAACGCCGACATCTACCACCGCTCGCCCGGTCACCGTGCTCCCGACGACATCTGGCACCAACGCCTCGGACACCCTGCAAACAGCACAATACTTCAAACAATCCAAGCAGAGGTGTTAGAACGCAACGCCCTTCTGACGACGAGCGGTCAAGAACTTCGACGACCACGCGCACGGTGCTTCACATGCCCCGAAGCAGATCTTCCTCATCAACCTTTTCCATCCCATCACAACCCAAGCGCACCTACTTACGCTCCGATGGAAAAAGTCTACAGCGATATTTTAAACATGCCTCGAGACGACACCGAAGCCGACTTCAACTACGTCATCACGTTCATCGACGCCGCAACCAGATACGTCTGGCACTTCAATCTCAAAACGCGCGATCAAGCCTTCGAGGCATTCACCACATGGCTTCCAATCGCCGAACGAGAGTCAGGAACCAAACTCAAGAGTTTCCAGTCAGACGGTGCACTGGAATACCAGTCACAACGCTTCAGGACCTATCTCGCGGAAAGGGGAATCCGACGCCTGGTGTCTCTGCCCTATGCTCACCAGCAGCAGGGGGTAGCAGAACGCATGAACCGGACCTTGCAGACGACGATGCGAAAACTGCTTCTGGGGATGAGGCTGCCCAACGCACTGTGGCCAGACGCGATGACACATGCAGTCCACCTGCACAACCTGTTGTCCTCGTCATCGCTCCCCAACAACGCATCACCACACCTGCTGTGGACGGGAAAAAGGGGCAGCACAAAATTACTTCGAGTTTTCGGCTGCATGGTACAATACAGACCCCACACAGCTCGAGCAGGACGCTTCACTCAACGAGCTCGGTGGGGACTACACCTCGGCATCGCCAAACATTTTCACGCGTGGAAGATCCTCGACATACAAGACAAAAATACGGTGGCATCACGTGATGTTATCTTCTACGAGCGACTGACGCTGCAGCATTACCTGGACAACATTGCCAACTCAGACGACCCCACCGACGGCTTCGCGGGCCTTCGCTCCTTCGCTGACCATGCTGCCGAGGCTGACGCAGCAGAAGAAGACATACCTGGAGCCTCGGAAGCTGCCGGGCCACTCCCATTCTGTTCCATACCTGTTCCACTCGATGAAGATAATCCCCTCGATAGCAACAACCTCGACACCTTTTACCACTTCGCCGACCAAGGTTACGCTACACCGCACCCCGTCGACACGAATATTTCGGAACGCATCGGCCCCAATTTCTTACCTGACCCCGAAGACGGTGACGAAGCAGCTTATTCGGGGAATGACAATTCCCCTCGACACACACCCACGGGACTCCAGATTCTAGGCCTCTGGGTCTCCGTCCAGCATCCGCCGCCGCCTTCTACGCGTGAGCCTTCAACCTTGTCGCAGGCTCTGGGGGGGGAACATAAGGCAAAATGGAAAGAAGCGATGGAAAAGGAGTTAAAAGCTCTGCAAGACCGAGAAACATGGAAACTGGTACCTGCAACGAGCATCAACGGGAAGAACGTTCTCTCGGGGAAATGGGTGTACCGCATCAAGACCAACTCAGACGGCTCCATCGAACGATTCAAAGCTCGATGGGTCGTACGAGGCTTCGATCAACGATACGGAACCGACTACACAGAAACCTTCGCCCCAGTCTCCCGTCACACCTCATTACGCATCCTACTCGCCGTCGCGGCCACAAAAACACTACCACTACGCCAAATCGATGTCGCGAATGCGTTCCTATACGCACCTGTGGACGCTGAGATCTTCGTCGAACAACCCCACGGATTCATCGACGACCCCACGAAAATATGCCGACTGACAAAATCCCTATACGGGATCAAGCAAGCCCCGCGGCTCTGGCAGCAGCATCTTCACAGCCGTCTCGTAAAAATCGGCTTCCTACAGCTGCCGCATGACCAAGGGATGTACCGACTGCAGAAGGGAAGAGAGTATGTTCTGCTCATCGTCTACGTCGACGACCTGCTCTACATCGGCTCAACTACCGACATCGCCACCTGGTTCGAAGGGGAGCTGAAAGAAGATTTAACTCTCACGGTGTCCGACGATGTTACGCAGTACCTAGGACTGAACGTCGTCGAAGACGACACGGCGTTCTACCTACACGCTGGAAAGTACTCAAGCACCGTCGCGAAGAAATTCGCTCTAACACCGACTGCGGTCCCAACTCCCTACCGCTACGGGAACAACGGCAGCGCCTCTACAAAACTCCCCGCGAAACAAATCCAGGAGTATCAACAGAAGCTCGGCTGCCTACTATTCGCAGCAGTAACCTGCCGACCCGACCTATCCTATAGTGCGAGTCAGCTGGCGACACATCTGAAGCATCCGCAACAGGAAGATCTCGAAGAACTCAATCGAGCGCTACTCTACTTCGTCTCCACGCCGACGATCGGGCTTACCTACAGCAAGGCAACAACACCGTCCGTACGACTACTCGGATACGTCGACGCCGACCACGCGGGAGACAGCGAAAATCGACGGTCTAGGACGGGCTACATCTACCGACTAGAACCTATCGGAACTATCTCCTGGCAGTCGAGCAAGCAGGAGTTAATCGCACTATCCTCGGCTGAAGCAGAGTATATCGCCCTTTGTACTGCGACCAAGGAAGGACTCTACCTACGAGAGTTACTCGAAGAAGCGAAGATCGCGACCCTGCCCGCCTTCTCACTCCTCTGCGACAACCAATCTGCGATCAAAATCGCGAACAAGGACGGCTTCGCCAATCGAACCAAGCACATCGCCCTGCGGTACTTCTTCGTCAAGGATGAAATCGCGAAGGGGAGACTTCAACTCAGTTACTGCCCGACGACAGAAATGGCCGCAGATTATCTGACGAAGAAATTGGCGAAAGCAAAATTCGACTACTGCATGCTCCTAACCGGGCAAACAAACGCCACCAGATCTGAACACTCCAGCACTCCAGAAACGAAGGGGAGTGTTGGAAATATCTCAAGGACTTAAGCGTTTCTGAAGTGTAACACTGTACTCGAGGAAGACTACAGGGGAGCACGCGAGTCAACGGAGGTTACACGAGGGGGCGGACAAAGAATGCGAAAGGACTCGAAAGGTCGCAACTGGAGGTTGCGACTGACCGTTACAACATCACGGATGGTAACCGAAGCGGCAATCGAGTCGCTGTGCGACTCGATAAACCGTTCCTGTAACTGTATTCTACAACTGCTTTCTTATCTACTATATATTGCTGTATGCTTGTTTCTTTAATCAATCACTTGTTCTCACATACTAGTACAAGGGTTCAACCGTCTCAACTTCCGCTGCACTACTCCAAGTCTCAAGTCTCTACAAGCTGGGACTTAGTCTCTGCAAAAGATCCTAAGGGCTTTTCTCAGCCCAACACATACTGTAAAAGCCCGGATATAAGACCCCAATGTCTTATCATATACCTAGGTGAAAAACTGGAAATTTGCTTATAAATGTAACAAAATTATGGGGGGGTGTTTCTTATAAATGGAAATTTGTCTTATAAAAGGAACTGTTGTGGTGATTCAAACATGCAGCGCGGGTGTAATGCTCGGGTTCAGCTGCTGTAATGGGGCCACTTTAAGCAGGAAAATGTGGATGTGGAGTGTCAGAGGGCTCGGCACCTAATGCATACCCTATATAATTTGTTAATAAAAATGGAGGGTTGTGATTTCTACAATGCAAACATGATAATTTTTGTCATACAAAATTACAGATTGTGATTCGACTAGAAGATGAGTTTGCTGTAAAGGAGACAAACTCCTTCATCTATCGGCAGGTCTTTCAGACCTGCCACCTAGTCTCATTTGCATTTTCATGTTCCAACTTGCTGTCAAACATATATTGTTATGTTTGTATAGACTGTATAGGTTTGTGTCTTAGAGGGTACAGCTTCTAGGTTATATTACCTTGTACTCTCTCTTTCTAGACTATTCTTCCATTCTAACATGGTATCATGAGTAGATTAGGTTCCTCTCGCCCACAAGCGCTTCCGCCCTAGGTCCTAGCCGCCCGTTCCCCCCAGCCGGCCCCGTTCCCCCTAACTTGCCCGCCCCGTCGCCGGCACCGCGTCCGCCCCTAGCCGGCCTCTCGTTTGCCCTGTCGCCGGCCCCACGTCCGCCCCTAGCCGGCCCCGCATTCGCCCCGTCGCTGGCCCCGTGTCCGCCTCGTAGCCAGCCCCGCGTCCGCCCCGTAGCCAGCCCCGCGTCCGCCCCTAGCCGGCCCCACGTTCGCCCCGTAGCCGGCCCCGTGCCCGCCTCGTAACCTGCCCCGCGTCCGCCCCTAGCCGGCCCCGCGTCCGCCTCGTACCCGGCCCCGCGTCCGCCCCTAGCGGCCCCGCGACCAGTCCTCTAGCGGCCCCTCGGCCCCGTCGACCAACGGGCCCGTGGCCTCGTCCCCTAGCGGCCCTGTGGCCCCGCCCCTAGCGGCCCCTCGGCCCCGTCGACCAGCTGCCCCGCGGCCCCGTTCCCTAGTGGCCCCGTTCCCTAGCGGCCCCTCGGCCCCGTCGACCAGCGGCCCCGTCCCCTAGTGGCCCCTCGGCCCCGTCAGCCAGCCGCCCCGTGGCCCCGTTCCATAGTGGCCCCGTCCCCTAGCGGCCCCTCGGCCCCGTCGACCAGCGGCCCCGCGGCCCCGTCCCCTAGCGGCCCCTCGGCCCCGTCGACCAGCCGCCCCGCGGCACCGTTCCCTGGTGGCCCCGTCCCCTAGCGGCTCCTCGGCCCCGTTGACCAGCAGCCCCGCGGCCCCGTCCCCTAGCGGCCCCTCAGCACCGTCAGCCAGCCGCCCCGCCGCCCCGTTCCCTAGTGGCCCCGTCCCCTAGCGGTCCCTTGGCCCCGTCGACCAGTGGCCCCGCGGCCCCGTCCCCTAGCGGCCCCTCGGCCCCGTCGACCAGCGGCCCCTCCGCCTGCCAAGCTCTTGCTGTCAGTGCCTTAGCAAGATGCGTAGCAAGCAATGTCCACCATGGAGAGAGGCTCATGGCGGACGGTGCCAGTCGGGAGGCAATACTCCTCCACGTGTGTATGTCAATATATTCGGCATGGTGAACTCACCTGGTGACACCATTAACGGTAGTCTGGATCATGTACAAAACGCCGCTACAAGCCGTCCTCCACGTCATGATCATCCCCTCACTGCGTCTAGCAACGATGCGGAGGATGGTGGTGCCGAGGCTGATAACTCGGCATGTAAAGCCGCTGATATCGAGAGCAATTGGTGGGCAATGCCCATCGGCTCTGACGAGGAAGTTAAGGAATGGCACGCGTGCGACAAGGCAGGCGGCGAGGAAGGCGGCGATGTGGGCGTCGACAACGGGCGCAAGGAAGGCGACGATGCAAATGATGAGAGCGCATGCGGGGAGGGCGAAAATGTGGGCAATGGGCTGAGCGATGAAGATAGGGACGACACGGACTGATGACGCAGCTGATGACGTGGCTGACGACACCAGCGACCGTGACGACGACGATGCGGACGAGGTGCAGTAGCTGCGAAAGTAGCGCGATGTCGGGGTTGGCCAGTGAAGCAGACTTTGAAACGGTGCCGAAACGACATGGACGGTATCGAGCAAGAGGCCTTCAATGACGACTCGACGAGGGAGGCAGGTGGCATGTTCGATGAGGACATGCCGATACAGAAACGCCGAGTATTCCTCGAGGTGCACGGGTGCAAGCGGCGGCAAGTGGAGTCGAGCGACGAAGAACGCGTAGGAACGAAGCGCACGAAATGGATCCGACAAGTTCTAGTGAAGTGTGGACAGCCAACGAGGGAGGATAAGGGGAAAGCAAAGTCCTCAGAAGAGAAGGAGATTGGAAAACGGAAGGGACCCGCTGCCAACGACTCACGCAAGACAGCCAAGCAAATCAGCAGGCATCCAGTCGACGACGCCGTAGAAGAGAACTCTGACGATGCGTACATGGAAGCGGCCGGCCCATTTCCCATCGTCCCGGAGGGCAAGGAGCCAAGAGATCCCAAGAAGAAGAATCCCGATGTGCTACCCTCATCACCGCGCAGTAAAGACAACAAGAAGCAGTGGCACAGCTTCACGCTCGGCGAGAAGGCGCGGTGGGCCAAACGGTATCACGATTTGATCTTGCTCAACCAGATGGCGCTTGAAGCGAGAGTCGGCCAGTGTTCGATACGCCGCTGGGTGGAGGAGGAGAGAAGAGGGAACAACAAGGGGGCGGCAAGGTGTAGGAAGCGGCTGCATGGTGCTGGATGGCATGCCCATCACCCTGAGATGTAGGAGGCGATCGCAAAGCACATCTGCGAGCAGCCGAGTAAGGGCCTTGCGGTTAGTGTCCACGACATTCAGGAGTGGAGCCGAAAGTTCATGCGTCGGTGCGATCCGAAGACCGAATGGCAGGAATCGAACCACTGGAGCCAACAATGTTGTAAGCGGTGGGGGTTCACGCTGCACTGCCGTACAAAGGTTGGGCAGAAGCTTTCACCAGGTAAGCTTCTCGTGCCCAATCATGCGGCTGCCTTAGCGTGATGTCCCCTTCCTGCTCTATGCATCCGTCGCACGTGTTATCTTTATCTGTAATTTGTCAATTCATCCGCTGCATCCTCTCTCCCGCTTCCATCCCCCCCTCCCCCCCCCCTCTTCCCCCTTGCCCTCTCCGCTCCCCTACCTCAGAATGTGCTGCAGACTGCGAGGGGTTTTGGAAGTTCGTTCGCATCAACCGTGCCCACCACAAGATGGATTTACGCAGCATCATCAACGCCGATCAAACTCCACTTTTTTAGAGATGTCGGCGAGGCAGACGTTGGAGTAAAAGGGATCCCGCTCAGTGCTGGTCTAGACCACTGGATATGAGAAGCAACGCCTAACTGTGATGCTGGCATGCATGGCCAGTGGCGACAAACTTCGGCCATGGGTATGGTTTCAAGCGCAAGACCATACCCAAGTGTAATTGCCCCTCACGTAAGCCTATGTAAGACTCCTTCAGACATGATTGCCCCTCCGCAAGACCCTCATCGCATATACTGTATACCCGAATCCACTCGTGCATGGACTGAACCGCCAGAACTCACATGCCTCCGATGTGTCACTGTGGTTTGTAGGGGTTGAGGTGCAGGACCAGGAGAACGGCTGGATGGATGAGGCAACCGTGAAGAAGTGGCTCGAAAACGTGGTTCTCCCTTTCCTCAACCCCAAGCGTGGGGTGCCGGCGCGCCGAGCCATGCTTGTCTTGGACTCATACCACGGGCACCTCACCACGAGATGAAGCATGCCTACAGGACGCATTCCATTGTCCCCGCCATCATTCCAGCGGGGTGCACGCCATTGATTCAACCCCTTGATGTGTCTATCAACAGGTGTTTCAAAGCATATGTGAGGGCGCGATATGCAAAGTGGTTTGCAAAGCACGGCATCAACATGTGCACGGCCAAAGGTACGCCCGCATTTCTGTATTAACCTCCACATACAATGCATGCCTCACCATGCCGGCTCTAATACCCCGACCACCGCTCTCTGTACGCCCCGCACCCTCCAGGAAACCTGCGCCACCCGCCCCACCACGTGGTTCTGAAATGGGTTGACCCAGCATGGGATGATGTCCAAGACCATATCGTCGTATGCGCATTCAAGACATGCAGCATTTTAAGCTCCACGGATGGAACTGACAACTACTTGGTCCTTCGACACATGCGCGGGGAGCCAGCTCTTAATGTATCTGATGGCATGTCCCTGCAAGGGACGAATAGAGACAATGCGGGTTTTGTGGAAGAGCGGGAGTGTGAGAGGATGAGGCTCGCCGAAATTTTTAACACAACCATTTGCCATATGCTATTTATTGTGCGTTATTTTGTGTGTTTTTCCTTTTCTAGAAATCCCTACACTCTTCCCTACTCATTGATATATTTCATATATATTATATGTGTTACGGAGTATTTCGGACTTTCCTTGGGTGTCACGTTTCCTATTGAGTGGATTGTTCCGTCACCGTCACCATATCTTTAGAATCCCTACCGTGCTTCTAGGTCGTGTTCCTACAGACGGTTCCACTCATTTATAGACGTCGCTTAGAAGGTCCTAGTTACCCTTTCCTAGAGTTCTCGTAGGTGTAAATATGATTGTGTCTTTGCTTGTTTTCAGTCAATTCTTGACTCAATTCTTGATTAGTATGATTCAAGCTTCTGCTAAATCCTGAACCTATGACACTCGGAAATCAGAGCACAATGTTTCCGATCAACGCTTCCCGCTGGGCCTCTAGGAGCACGCCGAGGATGGACTCAAACTTTTCAATTGCGCAAGTAAAATCGGTTTTTTCTTACGAAGTTCCGACGAATCTCGAGCAGATGCTCCTAGGGTCCCCATCGATGGCGAGCAGCATCGCCAACCGTTCGGTTTTCCACATCGACGTAGCTGATTTTTCGGGGGGGCATACAACAGCGCCCCTCGCCAATGAGAGGACGTCCCCAAAGTACATGCATTAGAATCTGGAGTATTTTCTGCCTCCTGAAGCGATCGACGGAATATGGTTGAAACTTACCCTGCGGCGTTTCCCACAAATTTCCCAACTTCGCCACGAATCTTGGAGTTGCACCAGCGACGATTTGCGACAGCCATCCGATTCGACTTCGATGCTTCAGATCTTCCGACACGAAACGAACCTGAGCTGAAGGAGTTCGAGTTTCAGCCTGTATGGAAACGGTACCTCGAAAGCAGCGAATTGTTCTCGCGCGTTCGATCATTCAACAACAAAACTCGACGACTACGAATTGCCGCAGAAAACCAACTGACCCCTACATTCGACGCAGCTGAACGAGCCTCCATAACTTGGAGTTTGGACCGTCGGATCAACATTGAACCAGCAGATCGCATGGAGCGCGAAGTTCTTCAGTACAAAAAGTTGACGATGAGAAGCAGATATACGCTAAAATCAACATCGACGACTGAACTTCCAAATTTTCCAGCTCCCTAAGTTCGAATCTCCTTGTCACGTTTGGAATTTAGGCGACCGAACTTCTTGACTGTCAGAATCTTCAGAAAAAGACACCTACTTGGTAACATCGACTGGCAGAAATGCTGTTGCAGCACGTAGATCGTCAGATCGCCGCTGAATCGATGGCACAAATGGACCTCGAGACTTCTTGATAGGAGAACAACGTCTGGGAGTAAAAATCTGTGCTTGACGACACAGCAATTACATGCTACTCTAAAAGTCGCAGAATCTTCAACTTTCCTTCAACGGGATCCGAATCTTCCTTTGAAGCAGAATTTTGTACCTCATCAAAGAAGCAGATTTTGGTGGTACACCAACAATGCAGCCGAACATCTCCGATGACAAAACCGGTATGCAGATATTATTTTACAACGACATCCAGTTCAACAAATAGGCATACTACGGATTGCAGAGAAGTACCAGTTTTCTCGTCAAACAAGTTGATGCGAAGGAGCAGATTTTGCGTGCAACTACGACGCAGTTATTACGTCTCGTCAGGGACGAAGAGACACTACTTCATAATAGTAGCTGATAGATTCATCTTCACTACGAATCTCAACCGTCCGCAGTGTTTGGCTGGAGCAGTTTGACATCAACCTCAAGAGACGACATCCCAATCTTGTGACTGCGATTCCAGGTGTCTATGTCATCACACAAAGGCACGAGGGTTGACAGACCGAGGAGTCATGACCTCGAATCTGGCAATCATTCGCACACGTGCGACCCTACGGTACATGTATTGGAGGCGATTCTACCAGAATCCAAAGTGTTACAAGCCTCGACGTAACTTCGACAATGCAGGAGAACGCCCAGCAATGGAGTAACACATGTGCATCAAGACGCGCGTGTTCCCTGGTAATTACAACTGTTACACCCATCAGAAAGACTCTACTCAGAAGAGGAAGCGGATGGATTCTTCTTCGAGCTGTTACAAGTCAATTGCATCATCTACAGCAGCCGCCGCCGCGAGTATTTACCGCCGCCACCGCCGTCGCAGCAAACAATACAGCAATACCCAACTCTGATGAATATTCTTCTTAACAAGGAAGATGACACTGAATTTTCTTCCAGTATGATTGCAAGACCCGGCCTTGCACTACATCTATGATTTCCAACTAGTGCGATGGAGATACCACTATGCCCTGGACCTACGTAGTTATGCTACATGCCCTCAGGAGCTCTGAAAAAGACATTACTATGAGGATGGGAGGACTAGGATTATCTTCGAGTTCTCATGGCCCAACGACTTTCAACGGTGTCATAAAACATGCGTCACCAACCAATCCATCACTAGCATCACCTGCACTGAAGCTGGTAGGCGTGATCTGGAGCACCGAGGCCACTATGAATAGAGGAATCTGCGTTAATCCAATTGCACCCCTACAAGCAGAACCGGAGGAGATTCAATATTGATGCTGAGTAGCTGAACCGACATCAATGTCATCGAAGCTGTTACTATAGAGGACACTTGCCGACCCAGTGGACCTACACCTCTACGTGCATCCAGACAACGAGGCCAATTGATGGAATCCATGCTAAACTGGACATGTATGAGGCATGCTAGAGTCACCAACATCATAACCAACAACCTACTGGAAATGGAAGAGCAATCAAATGGGTTGAGCGTAGAAATCTCCATATCTCCTTGAACAGTACCTTGGATTGATGCTCCACTGATGAGCATGGTGACATCGTCCTATTACAATCACTTGGCAACAACTCTTATTGCAACGGCACGCAGTAGTTACAGCGTTACTACGGTATACGGACCGGTACACGAATGTTACGTCAACCTCGCACGCTTGGTGGTTTCTTGACCACATGGAGCAGTTATCATCGCTACAGCATGCTACACTGCAGCTGAATTCTATTGACTGCAACTCAGGCACAGACTTATCACCATTTGCTACGCTACTCTGCAACATGAGTTGGAGCGTCACATGTCCCAATACTTCATCGTGGGATACCTACTACCTGCACTCGTACAGGCTCACGAGTGTGTGGAATAAAGTACAGAGGAACTGCTATTCAAGCACAACATTGTTGGCTTGATTTTCTCCGACTACTTTGAGCCTCACAGCCCTCCGTGTTTGCTGAAAAACTAGGTGCTTTCAGTGTATACCCAGTTTTGAGGGGGGGAAGTGTGAGAGGATGAGGCTTGCCGAATCCTTGATCCCAACCATTTGCCATTTGCTATTTATTGTGTATTATATTGTGTGCTTTTCCTTTTCTGGAAATCCCTACACTCTTCCCTGCACAATGATATATTTCATATACAATATATCATATCTATTACGGAGTGCTTCTGACTTTCCTTGCGTGACACGTTTTCTATTGCGTGGAGTGTTCCGTCACTGTCACCGTATCTCTAAAATCCCCACCGTGCTTCTAGGTGGTTTCCCTACGGACTGTTCCACTCATTTCTAGAACTCTCTTAGAAGGTCCTAGTTACCCTTCCCTAGAGTTCTCGTAGGTATAAATAGGATTGTGGCTTTGCTTGTATTCATTCAATTCTTGATTCATTTCTTGATTAGCTTATGCTAAATCCTGGACTTGTGACAGGGAGGCAGAGGAGCAGGAGGAGGGAGAGGAGGATAAGGAGGAGGGAAATAGGGAGGAGAAGGGAGAGGGGGGGAGGAGCGCAACGGGCAGTTGGAGGGCAAGGGGGAGGAGGAGGGCGAAGGGGAGGAGGAGGGTGAGGGGGAGGAGGACGGCGAGGGGAAGGAGGAGTGGAGGCTTGGGATGAGGGAGAGGAGGATGGGGCTGACGCAATGGAGCGAAGAGAGAAGTATCAATACCCAGAGAATGAGAAGTGCCGTAGCACGGCGGCAGAAGCTCGCCAAAGTCCTGTAATAGTACCGCGCTAACGGCGATGTCGCTGGCGTCCGTAACCACTTCGTATGGGCGGTCGGGGTCGGCGATATGAAGAACGGGTGGTGTCATGAGGAAAGTTTTCAATTGATCAAACGTAGCTTGCTGCCTCTCCCCCCATTCATAAAAAACCCCCTTCTGCAACAAGTCCGTTAGCGGGGCTGTTGACTCCGCCATTTAAGGTATAAAGCGGCGCACATAGTTGAAGAACCCAAGAAAACTCTGCAACTCCTAGACGTTCGTAGGCGGTTCCCAGTTGTGAATAGTGTCGATCTTTTTCGGGTCAATTTTAACGCCTTCGGTTGAGACGACGTGGCCCATGAATTCCAACTCTTCTTTTAAAAACTTGCACATAGAGCCTTTGGTGATGAGTCGGTGTTGATCGCACAGGGTAAAAACCGCTTCCAGGTCCGTCAAATGTTGTTCCCGCAAGGTGCGGTACACCAGAATGTCATCCAGGTAGACGATGCCGCACTTGTCCAATAACAAGCGGAAGACTTTGTTCATAGTTAATTGAAAAATTGAGGGTGCGTTCGTCAGCCCAAACGGCATCACTGTATACTTGTAACTTTGGTAACGGGTTTCGAAAAGCAGTCTTCGGAATATCAGCTTCTGCGAGACGAATCTGGTGGTAACCTCATCGTAGATCAATCTTGGAAAAATCCTGCCCCCGCGAAGTTGGTCGATGAGACCGTCGGCTCGCGGAATCGGGTAACGGGACTTGTTGGTGATGTTGTTGAGCGCTTGATAATCAGTACACATCCATAGGCCTCCGTCTTTCTTCGGGGTGAAAAGAATAATTTTTTTCTCCAGCAGATAATCCAGTTGCGTACGCAGCTCCATCAGCTCCGGTTGACTCAGCCTCCATTGCGATCGGACGGTCACTTGCGCGCCACGTTCTAGCTCAATTTTGTGATCGTATGGTCGTTGGGGTGGCAGGCCAGACGGCAGGTCATCAGGAAAAATCTTCTTGTACTTGCTCATGATCTTCGCTAGGTCCTTAGGTATAGCAGCACACATCTTCTCCAGGTTGGTCTGTTCAGCCACCTCCGTTAATGCGATCCATCGGATAACGTAGACGTCTACGCCATGTGTCATTACACGCTTAATAGTCACGTTGTTCACCTGTGTCGATTGATGGTCGCGTGGTTTCCACTTCGGCAGTTGTCGCCACTCGCCACCCCACTTCAAACGAATATCGCTATTCCTCCAATCGATGCTTGGATTCTACGTGCGAAGCCACGCACGCCAGGAGCACATCGCAGCCGTCCAACGTTGTCGCCAACATCTTCATGACGAATCTGACTTGGCTGTCGCAATCAATGCGAACGTGTTTCACCTGCTCCCGTATTGCAAGTGGCGTGCCGTCGACCAACCTCGCGTCAATCTCGGGCATGCAGCTCTCCATTTGCACTTGCAGTTTCTTTGCTATTGTCACATCGAACAGACTGTGTAATGCTCCACCGTCCACAAATATTTTTAATACGGTGTTGCCAACGTGGCCTTCCACCAGCACAGGGCAGCCAACAGGTTCACTCCCCTTTAACCGGGTGTGGTCGATTACATAGATCGGTACTACGACTGGGTGAGGGAGTGGTGATCTTCGAATAACGAAGCCTCGTCAGTAGGGGGCCCGACTGCTACTGATGATGTCCATTTCTCGGCTTCCTTCCATTGTTAGCTCCCGATTTCTGCAACTCCGGACAGTCCCGCATCACGTGCCCCGACTGGCCACATTTCTGACGGTGCTGCCACGTCGTTGATGGGTGAGTAACTATTCTGCCCTCGCAAACGGCTTCCCTCCCGAAAATTCGTCCTCGGCCGTACATTGTTCTCGTCCATGCCTCTGCGACCTGCTGCACCTCCAGGAACGTCGTCGGGCGGCGCATGCAAATTTCGCGCTGACCTCTGGTTTCAGCCCTATGATGTAACGACTTGTCTTCTTCGTCCCGTGTAGATCGTTGTTTTCGACGCAAATGGCGAAGAAAGATTACGTGTACTCCAGCACAGAACCTACTGTAGTTGACGCCATCCGTGCAGCTTCACACGAGTGTTTTCGTATGCGGATACATGCTCGAAGTACCAGCGAAGCAGTACACCTCACTGCTGCAAGGTAAGGATCGCGGCCACACCAAACAAAGATCCTTTAGGAGTTGAAGCCAATCGTCGCTCCCCGTCCATCGCCTGTTGCCGGTCTGCCGGAGTCCCTCGTGACGTTACGTACTGTCGTCACCAAATTAATGCAGGTCTGTGTAATAAAGACACCGCTAATTTGACGCGTGTCTCATCGTCGTTGACGTCGACGGCATTGAAGAACAGTTCCTTGGCGAACAGCCACCCACTCAGCGTGGTGTGTTTCTTCAGGGGGTTGAATGGCGGGGGCATGGCCGGTTTTATCTTTACAACTGCCCGTCGCTCGCTCGAATTGTCGTCACCTGTCGCTGACGTCGCCTGCGGTTGATGCGCGCTCACACGATCTTCGTCCACGGTAACAGGCGACTCCTGACGCGTCGCACTACGCGTCTGGCGAAGGCGCACATTCTCCTCTTTCAGCGCAGCGAGCTCGATGGCCATGTCCTCCATCTTCGCCATCATTTCGCCAACCTTCGTCGTCACTACGGATGCGCTTGCTACTGCCTCTTACAACTCAGCTATTTGCTCGGGAGTCATATTTCTAGTACTACGGCGAGGAGGGCTATTGACTATGAATTACCCCAACTAGCTAACGTCACTGAAGACACTACGGGCGCCTGTAATATTAGAAACGTGAAGCGCACACGACAAAGTCGGCGGAACTGTAGAAGGTCCTGCACGACCACTGGACAGCTCCTGTCTCGTAACGTGCGAGGTCCCTCTAAAAACTACCTCATTACGGAAGCCTAAATGTTCAGTAACGTAGCTCTGATACCAGCTGTTATGATAATCTCCGGATAGGAGTCGAGTAATGCAATACTAAGGTTGTGATTAAAGTGTGTCGAGTACAAATGAAGCACAGGGCTAAATACAAGCATAGCTAACCTAGCAAGAGAGCCTCGAGGAAGGCCACAAAATTGACGCGACGTGATTCGGGGCGCCTCGGGACTCGGAAGTGTCGGATGCGATGCCGCAATTAGGCTTGGGTTCTCGAACATAGTTCAAATCTGAATTGTCGGGCCGAGCCTGGTCTTTCCGAAAGCCAGGGCTGCACCCGATGTTAGCAAGGCTTGATAAGGAATATGGATTTTCCTTACAGTCACCGCATGTAAAAAAGTAAGTTTTTTCTCTAGAACATGTGTACCTGATGCAGGTGAGGTGAGGGTGAGGGCTGGTCAGGTGAGGGTGAGGGCTGGTGAGGTGAGGTGGCAGGAACCACTGCATGCCGTCTGGACTGGAGGGCGTGGTGGTCAGTTCAACAACAGCTGTTGTACAGCAACGTTGTCGGGATGTGACATTCTTGAAAAACGTTACTTCCGCCTTGAGCCCGAGACGAGAATGTTGCTGAACTTCTTGGCCATCGCGGGCTCTGCCTGACGGTCTAGGGCACAAACAATGTTCGTTCATGGTGGCTGCTCTATTTTGCTTAGGGCTGCCCCTGGAATTCGCCCAGTGAATCAGGGTTTTCCAGAGAGTCGCCCATATGGTGCACTTGTCATCTTCAGCAGGGACATACGTACAGTGCGATCAAAGGAAGCTTCTGAACTGTCGTTTAGTAACTGGAGCTGACGCAAGCTATGAACTGTTGTTTCAAAACTGCCTTCCATCGACTCGTAACCGGAAAAAACCGGCGTGTGCCAGCATGGCTGCCGCATAGAGTGGCGTCTGGTTGGACACGTGGACAATGAGAGCTGTCCAAGTTCTTAGCTTGTGCCCAGCAAATCGCTACAGCACCGATTTGGCGGACCAAACTGAATTACAGTATACTGTACTGTACCTCTATCCCTCGGGGTTGTAAAGGATGCTTTCCCCGTTAGTGGGTTCCTCGATCTACGTTTCAAAGTTGAATTCTCCCTTTTCTGTGCTTCGGGGATTCTCTTTCGGAGGTTCATTCGGCTTGACACTGCAGTGAGCCAAGTTTCCCCATCTACAGCTTCAGTGCTGTGCTCTGTACATTGTACCATTCCAGGTGATGTGTAGTGTGGGCGTAGGCCAATGAGGGTCCGACATGTTGACAGTTCCCATCGCACTCACCAGCGAAGCTTCGAATCGCGTTAGCCTCGTCCATGCCTTAAACGCATTGCCCTCTGAGGGAGCGCTCAAAATGATGACGCGGAGAGATTCAGGAATCTTGACCCCCTGACTTCACGAGCCAAAGAGATCACGATTGCGTACACACATATCACCAGACAAATAATACATGCCGGTGGGATGACAGGGGAGTACAACTTCAGGGATCTGGCACGACACCGGGTACGGATATTGAAAAGGGGGCACTTTTGAACGCGGTCTGCAGTGCAGTATTTTGCTTGACTTGGAATCCCAACCTCCAGTGGATGCTAGACGCTTGATTCCAACAGACCTCCCGGTTTCCTCTGTGGTGCCCGGTTTCCTGTCCAACCACTTCAAGCTCTCCGAAATATTCGTCAAGTAACCAACCATCTCCACCGAATCAGTATTTGATGAGCTGTTGCGCCACACTGCTTTCCGTTTGTTCCTGGCTTCAAAACTGTCAAACAGCTCGCACTGCCGTTTCAGCCTGCTGTACGCTGAGCGGACAGCTTTTGTTGCCCCACGCCTCGCTTGGCCGCGGCCGCTTTGCTTCGCGGAAGCGTCCCAAATTTGACTTACCCCACCGCCAACTTTCGTTCCTATTATATCCGCCTTGTTTCACTCGAGAGCATGCGATTATCACTTGCATTCCAACCGGCTGGTTCCTATCGAGACGATGCGAGTCTTTTGTTTTGAGGCTACCACATGCGATAGCCCGCGCGCGGAGGTAGTAGCGGATGTATTTGATTGGCCATCGTTTGACGACCCCTTTTCCGTGACATGGCCGGAGATGATTACGCCCGAGCATGCTATGCTGCCTCGCGGAATGGCCGGCGTTACTACGCTGGACGGAGCGACGACTGCTGCTGGCCAGTGTGAAAGTAGTGCTGACGTCGGCTTTGAAATCTCCCGTGCTGCCAGCGTGACATCTCTCCGCTTCTGCAGCGACGGTCGAATCGTCCAGTGCGGAAATGACGACTCAGATTTGACGCCTTCTCGCAAGATTCGTGCAATCATAATCGCGGAAACAGCGGCCGGAGCTGTCAGCGTCGACGGCAACCCCCGGGGTTCAGGGTCCGTGCACGAAATGATGCTCGGCCGCGCTTTAGTGTCCCCTCTCCCTGTGGCGATGATGGACGGCGGCTTCTACAAGCGGTACGCCGTGCGAGAAGTGCTGGGCGTGGGGAACTACGGGGTCGTGCGGCGGTGCTGGGACATGAAATCCGGAGTGGAGTTTGCGTGCAAGAGCCTGGCCAAGAGCAAGGCCCTGCGATGCAGCAGCGGGTGGTTGAATCGGAGCCGCTGCGTGATGCGGCGGCAGGCGGAAGGCGTGAGCGGCGTATGGAAATGGCACACGGAGGTGGCGGCCCTGCTGAGACTGAGAGGCCATCCCAACATTGTGCAGCTGTATGGCGTGTGCGACGACGCGCATTCCTTGCACTTGCTCCTCGAGCTCTGCTCAGGCGGGGAGCTTCATGCGGCTCTTCGCCGATACGCCTCAGAAGGCTCCGCTGCCGTTACTGGAGGGACAAACTATTCCCGGAAGGGAATGGAAAGACGGGACCTTTTCCCCGACGCCATCAGTCTGAGTGATGAGTACGATGATGTGATGGAGGACGAGGAGGTCACGGAGAACCTGAAAGCTCTGCCTGAGGCTGTTGCTCTTGGTATCTTCCAGCAGCTGCTGTCAGCTGTGCATTCGTGCCATGCTTGCGGCGTCGTGCACTGCGACATCAAGCTGGAGAACGTCCTGGTATCACAATCTGGAGCATCTAGTGACCCGGGATGCATTACAGGCCTGTGGCTAGGCAAACTAGCCCCCTTGGTGAAGCTGTGTGACTTCGGCTCGGCGCTCTGCCTTGACCAGGCCCAGCCTAGCAGCAGCCTGATGGGCTTCAGGAAAGTGGGGTGCTACAGAGAGGCAACAAGCTTGCGCAGTATGTACTTCCAGGCCCCGGAGGTGATAAGAGGAGGAACTGCGGCGTGCAGCAAGCAGTCGGACATGTGGAGCATCGGCGTCATCCTTCATGTGCTACTAACCGGTCGTCTTCCGTTTGTCGCTGACTCCACGTCCTTGTTGTGGAGAAGAATCCGGAGGGGACATGTGGACTATTCTGAGTTGTGGTGGGAAGGGGTCTCGCCTAAAGCAATGAAGCTTGTGCAACGACTGCTCGTTGTCGACCCTGCAGCACGAGCAACTACTAGTGAACTCATGCATGCCTTGAGGATAGATTAGGAAAATGCTGTGTGATTATGTACAATAGACGCTCTTACAAATAAGCTCTTATGATTGGCTTTCATTGTGAGAAATCTACACAAGTACAAGCAGTGCATATGATCTGAGTGTTCCTAATAGTGTTCACAAGAGAAATATCACATTTAGGAGTTTCAACCCGCCCTTGGGGTAATACCCAGCTCTGGCGAGAATTCTGGCGAGAGTTCTGGCGGGAACAGAAACTTGCACAATACCCAGCTCATGTTGCAAATGCTCGACATTCCCGAAGTTATTTTCTGGCAGTCTCTCTTGCTGAGCGAGAGATCCCTCTAGAAGTAGAGCCTTCTCTCCTGTGTACGTCCCGCCGTACCAGTTAGCCTCAGACCTTCTGCTAACAGCATGCAACCTCTGATGAAAGCAGCATCACTGCTCTCCGGCCATGATTTCATCGTTCCCACACCACCCGCAACGCCTCTGCCGTAGAAATACAGCTCTGCGTCGCCGCTCCTAGCTTGAGCCACTGAACGATACGGACCCCACAATGGACGAACCTATGCGTCTCAGGTGACCGTTGAGAGAGTGCGCATCATGGCCGTCCCTCAGGGAGGAAATCCCCATACCGGAAATCGCGATGCGAACGCAGCTTGTTCAGTCGCCATCCGTAGCTGGCAAGGGCTGTCGGACGACGATTACGAGGAGGCTTTTCACGAGTTCGTCGTGGTCGCACACACTCGCGATCTCCCTCGCGTACCCTCTGGCCGTCCCTTCGCTCTCGTCGTCGAGTAAGTCGAACGACTAATGCACAATCCTGCCTAAATGCCCTGCTTTTCCCTCCATTTTTTAACGAAAATCCCCTCGTTGTTTTGCTATCCATAGCATGTCTTTTTCATTCCCATTGTTGCTGCTCACCTTTCCCGTGTGGTCCCTGTACAGGGCAGCGGAGTTACTAAATTTCAACCCTTCGCTGGCGTTGGAGCTGCATGGCAACGCCAGGCGCATGCTACCCCTGTTTGACCTCGCGCTTGCTCGAGCCATGGTTGGTAGTATTGCTGACCATGCTGACCGTAGGGAAAAATGACTGTCGCCCTCCTCCTGGTCCCGTCATGCCTCCCCACCAGGACATTCGTGGTGACTCCAAGTCGTCTTTCTCATGCTTTATCCTCCTCCGCCCTGCGTGGGGTTCTGCATGTTCGATGTCCATTTCAGGAGGAGCTATGGGCCAAGCAGGCTGAGCAGGAAGAGGAGGAAGCTGCTGTGGCGGGTGCAGCAGCAGCGGGTGCAGCAGTGCAAGGAGCAGGAGGTAGAAGCGGAGGGAAAAGAGCTCGTCAGCATCTCCAGTACGCAGTGAACGCATGTGTGCGCATCAACACGCTGGGATCCGCGTTTGCTTGCGGAGAGGCGTCCCCAGGCATAGGGGCTCTGCGGGTGAGGCACGAGGGGCAGCTGCTGACAGTTACCGGCACAGTTGTGCGCACAGGCACCGTGCAGATGCTGGAAGGGCTGCGAGCATTCACCTGCACCACATGCAAGAGAACGTAAGGCAGATGTATTGTAATATGGAATCACTCCACGAGCCTTTGACTCCGCACCTCCCTGTCACAGCCTGACACATGCACGAGCACAAACTCTTTCCCATCTAAATATCCTCCCCATTGCTTTTTGCTCCTGTTCCCTTGCTGTTACCCTAGGACATTTGCCCTTGCCGCCCTTCCTTGGTCTTCAGGTTCACATGCTCGCCTGAACCAGAGGAGGGGTATGCAGTGGAGGTGCCGTCTGCCTGTCCTTATGCCGACAGTAAGGTAGGCCCAATGCCTTTGAGTAATGAATCCACAGATGGTCAGGAGGTCAAAATAGTTCACTGCTTGAAGGGGATTTGACATACTTATACCCCCCCCTCCTATCCCTTTCCCGTCAACCCCGTGCTGGTGCAGCGGCGCAAGCGGTGCAAGGGGCGGGTGTTTGTCCCAGCCGACGGTCAGCGCAGCAACAGCAGCAGCAGTGGTGGTGGTGGTGGTGGTGGTGGTGGTGGTGTGGGGCGTGGTGCGTGCATGGACTTCCAGGAGCTGAAGCTACAGGAGCACGTGCACGACCTGCCTGCCGGCCGCCTGCCGCGCTCCGTGCGTGTCGTGCTGTCAAGAGACCTCGTTGACACTGTGCTGCCTGGCGGTGAGGCGCTCCTCCTTGCAAGCACGTTCTGTGAATGTGCTGTTCTGTGTCTTGTGTGCGCTGTTGGCTGTAAGCTGTTTGCCACACGCTGAGCTCTCTTGTTCTATCCCGCTCCGGCTTACCTTTTCTTAAGCGGAATTCATCACTGTGTGCCATCCTCTGCTCGTTCCTTCTCTTTGACACCCCCTTCGTGCAACAAAGAGGATGTGGTGGTGGTGGGGGTGATGGCTTGTCGCTGGCGCTCTGTCTCTCCTGGTGCTCGTTGCCTGCTGGAGCCCATCCTGTGCGCCAACAACATCTGGTAAGAAAGACTTGTTCTTGGTTGGAGTATCTTTATTGTGATTTAAAACTGTAAAGCATATTTCTGGTCGGCTTCCAACTGAGCCGGATGCTGCCAAATGCGCACCTATTAGTGTGTGCTGCTGATCTGACGGCGCTGCCACACGGCCACGGCATGGCATGGATGGTGGCACAAAGTATGCACCATCTGTGTTATGCTCCCCTGTCACACATGCAGCAGGAGCAGTGCACAGGAGTTGGAGGAGCAGGGCGAGGAGGACGAGGAGGAGTTTGAGGATTTCTGGTGTGCTCATGCCAGCAATCCCCTCGCAGGTTCGTGACACGCTTGTCTGGGGTTTGGGGGGGACGGGAGGGGGGGAGGGAGGGGCGGTGGGGGTGGGTTTAGGAGGGGTGTATGTGTGTGTGCTAGATGGGTCTGTGCATGGTGTGGATGCACATAGGTGGGAATGCCTGGGCCATCCCAAACGCATCTCCATTTGCTCCCTTCACTACCCGAGCCCCTCACCCTCGTGTCCATGTGTGCGTCTCTGCCAGGTCGGGACATTATCCTGCGCAGCATCTGCCCCCAAGTGTACGGCCTTGCTGCCGTCAAGCTCGCAGGTGGGGAACACAAGTTCGCCTCCCCTTCATCCCTCTATCACCCTCGTCCCCCCTCCCCCCCCCCCACCCCCGTCGTTTAGCCCTGACTCTGAGCTAAATGCTCCAGTGCTCACCGTACCATACCCCTTCAGTTCCCTCACCCGCCCCTCACGCTCCCTTCGTGCCCACTTCCCTCAGTAGCGTTGATGCTGATAGGAGGAGTGCCGCACACGGATCCCTCAGGCACCCGCGTGCGAGGGGAGATGCACCTGCTGCTCGTTGGCGACCCAGGTACGGCGTTCTAGATCACGACCCAGGGACCCGTGTGCCTGAGATGGAATATGAGTGAAATGAGATGATGCGTTCCAATGCTGTGGTTCCGTAACTCCAACAGTTCCTCCCCGCTTCCCTGCTGCTCCCTCACGCCATGTCCTTGATATCCTCCCTTTCCCTCCTCCTCCCCTTCCCTCCTCCTCCCCTTCCCTCCTCCTCCCCCCCCATCCTCCTCTCTCTTTCGCCACTTCTCCCCCATGGCAGGCACGGGCAAGTCTCAGTTCCTCAAGTACGCATCGAGGCTGTGCCATCGCTCCGTGCTCACCACCGGGCTGGGAAGCAGCTCCGCTGGCCTCACCGTCACTGCCGTCAAGGACGCAGGTGAGAGGCAGGAATGGGGGCTATGTAGAGATGGGACGACTTTTGAAACTCCTAAGAGAAAAACAGCTCTGGCCTCACCGTCACTGCCGTCAAGGACGCAGGTGAGAGGCAGTGAGGACGTGCAGGGGTGGAGGGCGAGGGGCTTTGGACGCTGGGAATGGACCAAGGACCAATCCTCCTCTCCCCCTCCCCCCCTTCACCCACCCCCCTTTCCTGCTCCACCGCTGCCCTTCCCTTTCACCTCGTGGTGTGTAGGTCAGTGGATGCTGGAGCCAGGGGCTCTTGTTCTGGCTGATGGGGGGCTCTGCTGCATCGATGAATTTAGCAGGTCATACTCTTGCTCGCTCGCACGCACGCTTTCCCACCAGCGCCCTCCCCACTTCTACACTTGACACCTATCGCCTTTGCTCCCATGTTGCCAGCCACCATCACCACCATTGGCCACTATCGCCTTCGCCATGCATTTTGCTCCTCTGCATGTGTGCGTGCATGTGTGTGTGCATCTTTGTGTGCATGTGCATGCATGCATGCGTGTGTGTGGTGCAGCATTCAGAAGGACGACCAGGCAGCCGTGCATGAAGCCATGGAGCAGCAGACAATAAGCATCGCTAAGGTCCGCCGCTTCTCCTCTCACTCCGTCCGTTTCTCATGCGCGCTCACACTCATACTTGTGCACCTGTAGTGCATGACCATAGGATAGGTGCTTGGTCTCTTCTCGCCCTTCCTATTCCACGCCAAACCTCCACCCCACGGTCCCACCCCACCTCTCCTCTCCCATGCGCAACTCACAGGCTGGCATAGTCACCACTCTACCGTCCCGCTGCAGTGTCTTTGCTGTCACAAATCCCAAGGGCACATACGACCCTGACACCTGTAAGCCCCCTCTTCACACTTGCACCCCACCCATCCCCACCGCATCCCAAAACAACAACACCCTGCACCTCCCCCTTACCCTCTAGCGTTCACTCAGCACCCCCACCCACTCTCCTGGTCAACATCTTTCGTCCACCGGCTGGGCATTCATCCCCGCCTCCCCGTGTTCCTGATCCCCCCTCCCTGCACGTCCAGCGCTGGTGGCGAACACAGCGATAGCGAGCCCCCTGCTGAGCCGCTTTGACCTCGTGCTCGTGCTGCCCGACACCTCCGAGGCCGCGTGGGACAACCGTGTGGCTCAACACATTCTTGCCGAGGCATGGCACACAGTGCAAGCGAACCAGCATCACTCAGTTTTCGTCCACTCACTTGCCATTGCCATGCACCACTGCCCTCACTCCCTCTTTCTCCCCGTATCTCCCTTTCTTCTTTCCTCGCACTGCATTGTCACTTGTTTATCACACTGCATCTCCGTCTTGCCCGGATGCTCCGTCTTTCTCTTCCGCCTCTCCCCATCACAGCACACTATCGTCTCCTCCACTCCACCCACCGACCTCTGGTCGATACAAAAGCTCCGCAGGTGTGTCCAACTGCTTCATTGTTTCGCCCACCTCATCCCGTCCTGCTTCTCGTCCCTTCCCGCTCCCCCTGCCACCCACCTCACTATTCCCTTGCATGTCGCCACGCTTCTCTTTTTCCATCACAACAACTACCCTCTGCTTCTTTCCTGCATGAAACATCCACCCTCTGGTGTCTCCGAACCCAAAACTCTGCTCATTTCTCCCCTTTCCCCCCTGCCAGCTCCCCTCACTCTCTCATGTGTCTCTAGTGTCTGGTACTCTCCTTCCTTCCTTCCTTCCTTCCCTCCAGCTACATCCGCCATGTGCGCCAGTCGTTCGCACCCATGGTATCAGAGGACGCACATGCGGTCATCAGTGCGTACTACCGCCAGCAGCGACGCGACGCAGAGGACAATGCAGGTTTGGCCTTTCTCTACTCAGAGGCATGTGCTCAGTGGAGGAAGGCGTGGGGGGGTTGGGGGTAAGGACCGATGGCGGGGCTGGGGAGGAGAAGTGAAAGAGGATAGGAGAAAGGGAGAGGTGGAAATGGAAGAAGTACGGGGGGGCGGAGAAGAGTGCCCGACAGCCACCTACTGCTGCACCACATGCTGCCCCAGATTTTGCTGATTGGTGTTGCAACTCGCATTCGCCTTGCCTTTCCGTGTACCCTATCCTCGTGTGGTTGGCTCCATGGCAGCACGCACCACCCTCCGAATGCTGGAGAGCTGCATCCGCATAGCACAAGGTGGGCTCTCCAACGCCCCTCCCCCCGAATTCGCTTCTTTTGTACATCCTCCTGGTCCTTCACGTTCTCCCCTCCCCCTTCCCCCACCCCCCCCCCCCGTCCTCTCTCTCTCCTTGTCTCCGCGTCCATCCGTAATGTCTCCTTCTCCCATCCCCTTTTGTCGCTTCCCCGCCCATCACCCTCCCAGCGCATGCGCGGCTCATGTTCCGCACGGCAGTGCTGCGCCAGGATGCAGTGATAGCCGTCACAGCCATGGACGCATCCATGTCCGCCTCACGCCTCTTCCACTCCCACACCCCTGCCAACGCTGCCTTCCCCGACGACCCTGCTGCCGCTTGTAAGCCACCATCCAGGGTGTACAGCACAGCAATAATGCACTGCGATTCGCACCCCATGTTCTAAGTGCTGCTTGTTGTTCCTTGATTCCCAATTCGTGCTGTCCTTGTTTTTGCACTTGCCGTTGCTTCAAATGCCGCCTTTCAGTCAACAATCTTCCAAAAGCTTCTCCTTTGGCTCTGCTCCCTCTTCCCGCCCTCTCTTCCTTTCTCCCGCTCGCTTGCCTGTGCACTCGCGTGTGTGCTCCCCTGTGTGCGTGTGTGTACAGACTGTGATATGGAAGCAGCAGTGCTGCAGCAGCTAGGCCTGTCCACCACTGACTCCGACACACCCACTCAGCCACCCTCCTCCTCCACCCCTTCACCTGGATATCCCTTCACCACTCCTCTCACCCCCCATCGACACCACAATGCTTATTCCACGAGGCGTGGTACAGCACATGGGGGGTTCACACCAGGCCAAAGGCACAAGAAGTCAGTGGCAGCACCGCCGCCAGCAGCAGCAGCAGCAGCAGCAGGAGCTGGAGAATCACAGCCAGTGAGAGCGGCTGCAGGGACGCAGGCAGCAGCACATGGGCCCAGTGTGGGCGGACCCAGGTTGCAGCAGTGCTCTAAGGGAAGAGGGTGGAGGCCAGCGCAGAGAGAGCAAGGAGAGGGCGAGGGAGGTGTGCGCGTGCAGCGGCAACCGACTGGTCCTTGCCGGCCGCCTGCTACTACTGTGAGGACTGGCAGAAGAGCCACTGGAAGGGGAGACGAGTAGCTGCATGCATACACTCAAGAGTACTACATGTAGAGTTTATTGGTCTCATGAATAGTGACTCTCTGTTCCTGCGATGAGGTATTCAGAGTCTGCTGTTGCATTAGTCCCTCGAGCTCCGAGCAAACGGCTTTCGGTAACATGAAGGCTCACTTCAACTGCATGCGCTCTTGTGTAAATAGTTCTGACAGGTGTGTGGTGCAGCAGCAGGCATCAAGTGGAGCATTCTTTTAGTCAATCACAACCTGCAGAAGGTAGTGTAACACAGAGGTCCTTCATGTAACAGTGTGTGGCAGGCCAGCACCACCAGTGACTATGGCAAGTGCAAAACAAACATGGAAACTAGTCATGAAAAAATCTCCAACCCGTACATCCTGTAGATGCCATGGGGGTGCTTTTCTCGATCCAGGAGTTGCTTGGAACCCACAATCGTAAGATACCGCAGCATCCTAAGCTCTGTGAGGTCTTCTGGCAGAGCCTGCAGCTGCTTGCAGGCGCACAACTGAAGTCTCCGAAGTCTTTTCAGCTGCGAGAAGTTGGGAGGAAGAGAGCGGATGGAGGTGAACCCTAGAAGCAGCGACTGGAGGCAGGCAAGCTGGGTGAGAGAATCAGGCAAAAGCTCCAAGGACGGGCAATGTTTCAAGGCCAGTCTACACAGCCTGGATAAGGCACCCAAGGAATCAGGAAGGGAAGTCAACTTGGGTGCCATTGCGATCTCCAGGGATGACAGATGGCGAAGGTCAGAGATACTCGCTGGAAGCTCCACCAATTCCGCAGCAAAGCTGATTTGCAGCTTTCGCAGCCGTTGCAAAGCCAACCCGAAGTCACCCGGGAACCGTTTCATCATATTAGCATACTCAATTGTGAACGTCTGAAGCTGAGAGAAGGGCACAGGGAATGAAAGCTCTGGCACATCTTCCAGAGACAGCTCCAAATGCTCCAGACGCGAAAATCCTCCTAAAGCTGTGTTTCCTTGCTCCATGCCAGCCATGATCAACATCAGGCTTGTAAGGTTGGGCAGCGAGGAAATATCTGGCAGAGGAATCACCTTGGCGGAGCTCAGCCTTAGGATATCGAGGGAGACTGGCAGATGCTGAGGAAATCCTGTCAGCTGGTGACAAAGAGTCAGATCCAGCTCACTGAGCTGTGTAAGGTTGTCCATCCGCCTTGGTACGGAAGAGAGCTGCCTACAACGAGTCACAGACAGGATCCGAAGACCGGTAAGGAGTGTCAGAGACTCCGGGATATTGGCAAGGTTGTCGCATGAACAGATGTACAGCTCTTGCAGGTAGTGCATCGCGTGCATGTTCTCATTGCCGTCCAGATTCAACGTATGCAGATTCACGAGCTCTCCAGGGCCTTCTAAAAGCGTCAGGTTTGACAGGTTCTTGAGGCACAGGGTCTTGAGAGCAGTGAGGCACCAGAATCCTGCAGGCAGCTGCCGAACCTCAGGGCAGTGAATGAGGAGCAGTGTCTCCAGGGATGTCAGTTGGCTGAAGGACTCCGGAAGCTCCGCCAATAGCAGCTCGCTCAGCACTAGTGCTTTCAGGGCAGGCTGGCTTCCGAAGTTTTCGGGCAGGCTGCGAACCCGGCAGTCAACAAGTTTCAAGATCTCCAAGCGCCTTAGAGAAGTGAGTTCCTCCGGCAGCTGGGAAAAGCTGCAGCACTTGAGAACGGCTAGCTCGCGTAGGGACGGCAGCAGGTCTCCTATGCCAATAGGAAGCCGCTCGAGCTGGAGGCTGTCCGGCTGCGCCGTCCGAGACTCGCAAACCCGCAGACGTTCGAGAGTGGTGCATGCCGAGCGAAACATTAGGCGGAAATTGAACGAGTTGAGGCGAGGCAGCCGTGCGATGGTGGCCATGGCGAGAGCAGCAGTGTGTTCATCTTCTGGATCCAGACGGGTGTCGTCGTGCATTGACAGCTCGGTAAGGCTTGTGACGCGAGCAAGATTACTGAGCCGCTCACAAGTTATAACGGCGGGAACGTAGTATAGAGAGGTGAGAGACGACAGCTTCACCAGATCCGGAGCGTCTAGGACCGAAGCATGGGTTACTGCGAGAGTGTGCAGATGTGCGAGGTCGAAGAAGGAAGGCGGCAGTATAAAATCTTCGTGGAGGCAGAAGAGCGAAAGTTCCTCAAGTTGGGTGCACTGGCGGAAGAAATGATCCAAGCCAGCTTCCGTTACCGGGTGCTCGTCCTTACTCCCCTTACACCGCGGCGTGATACCGCGTCCCACGTAGACAGCTTTCAGCTTTGGGCATGAAGCCGCGAGGTGAGCGAGGAAGACGTCGTTTAGAGTCTCCACTCTGCTCTCAGACAAATGGAGACGGGTGAGGTTGGAGAAGCAGGCGACAGCGCGTGCTAGATGTTGGAGGGGAAGGCAACGATCTTCGCTGACCATGACCATGAGGGTGCACACTTGAGACCGAGCGATACGTCGCCATCGACGACACACAGCCGCGGCCATGAGGAGACATCCTATCCCAGCGTCTGCAGAGGCAGGATCGGTTACTGGAGTCGTCCTTGCACGAAAATACTCCGGTTTCCAATCCACGCAATCCCACAAACTGTCGCTGCTGGATTTCCACATAGCCGCGTGCTTAGAGTGGCATAGAATTCCAGCAAGTATATCGTCTGGAAGGTTATCTATACATGTTCCAGACATCTTGTCCGAACGCAGAGAACAATGAGCGGATGCGGAAATGAGATCTACAGGCTGCAATAGTAGGTTGCAGGTCTCTACAGCACTTGCGTCGGCGGTGGCGAATATGAAGATAGTAGACGAGCTCTGCATATTTCACGAAGTGGAGTCAGGTACTAATCACAGCTCTGGCTGCAACACAGGGGTGAACCCTAGGTGGTCCCACCCAACACAACCAATCCTCCCCAAGCCTCGCTGGGTCAACGCCCTTCTCTTGAATGAATCGCACAAGGATGAAATGGAGCAGGATGGCCTGACGTGACACGGCAGCAGGGGAGCACAGGACAACACATCACTAGTCCACCTCAGCATCCCCCATGGTGTTGGGAACAGACGAACTCCTGAAATGCGAATCCAGAGTACACTGTAAACTGTAGAGACGCCCCCCTAAATTTACCGTTAGGAAGTGATAAATAATTCGTGTTGGGACGCGCGGTGTATGTAACTAGACCACCTTCTGAACTGAAGTGTTGCTTGGGACTCGATTTGGGGTGAATACAGACTGGCATGCAATCAAACAACGATTAGCGGAGAGAATCACCATGAGCACTAGCTAAGTAAAATATGTCTTTTGTATCTTGAAGGCTCACTAGCATTGCATGCCCACAGCTACTGGTGTGGCATAAATAGTTTTGCAGTTGCAAACAAGGATCACGCAGAGGTGCTTCACACCATCTTCTTCTGTTCAGCATCCTCCTGTCCATCCAATCCAACCACCATGCCTTTCAGCAGCAACTGAGGCGGAGGGATGAAGCAGAGTGGGAGTGAAAGGAGGGTGCAAGCTTGACGCGGTGTGCACAGGGATCTCGTCCCGTCCTCACAGTTGCCAATGCACAATGCATATCAGAGCTCGTCCGTCATCCCGTGAGCTCCCCCCACTGGCGAAGCCAGGCCCATAGACTCCCCATCTCCACCACCCCTTCCAAGCAACGAACCCTTCTGCTGCTGCTGCTGCTGCTGCTGGAGCCGGGACAGCAGCAGCTGAGCGACGTTTTTAGCGGCCACTGCAGCGGTCTCGAGCGCGCTGGCAGCACTCTCAAACGTGCTCGTGTAGTACAGGTGGTGCCCATCCAGTAGAAAGGGCGCAAAGGCATCGGGGGGCGCGTAGTGCGGGTATGCCGGCCAGTCAATACTCCTCTTGAATGAGCGGCTCCTGACAGACACAAGGAATGTTGCAGGTATGTTGTTGATGCACGGTGGTTGTAATAGTTGTACAGGGGAGCGAAGGAGCCAGCCAGCCGCGAGCAGAAAGACACAAGACAATAGTAGCAGGCACGGAGCCAGATACAGCAACAGCGAGACTAGACATCCCTAAACCCCCTGTGCTATGCCTGTGTGGGTGCAAAAGAGGGGACTTTTGAGTTGACTCAAAAGTCACCTCGAAAGAGAGTGACAGGAAACTGCTGCGGCCGCAGACCTGAAAAGAAGGTTGAGGGTGTCATTCGAGAGGTGCTGCCGTGAGAAGACCTTGAACACACTGCTGCCGTCCGAAGCGAGAGGGGCCAGTCGGCTGATGCTGCTGAAGGGGATGCTGTCACTCTCCAGCGTCCCTATCAGCCCTGGTAAGGACGATGGGTCTGCTGCTCCGAAGTATGTCTAGCAGGGGCGAAGAGGGCAGCACAGGGCGAAAACGAGTTACCAGGAAGAGCGGTGGAGGGACGGTAGGTGGGGGTGAGGGAGCAATTCCTTGCTGTGCTTGCTGCGGCGAGGGGAGGGTTGGAAATGGTGAGCCAGGATAACAAGAGTGGGAGGAAAGCCTGGAGAAGGCCAAGAAATTTGGTGGAGGGGGAGTGGCGTGCAGGGATGATGTGGGATCTAAATGGAGTGGTAGATGCAGCGTGGCGTGATGTAGTGAGAGCACGAATTGAAGGAGACAGTGGAGGCATAACATCTCTCTCTCTCTCTCTCACATGGTTGAGTGCACCGCGCACGAAAGTCACGTGCGTGTGCTGGTACGTGCGCAGTGGTAGCAATGGCGGCGCAGGGAGGATAGCAATGCCATTCTGCTCCATTGGGGTCGCGATGACCACTGCATCGCAGTGCACCTCCGCAGCAGCAGCACCACCACCATCAGTATCAGCATCACCATCAGATCCATCGCCAGCACGATTACCACCGCTACCTCCTCGCCCCTCTCCCCCAGCACTTTCTCCTGTTGGCTTGCCCTTCCCTCCCCTAGACTCCATATACAGCACATAACCACCTCCATCACCATCACCACTGCTGGTGCCACTGGTGCCCGCTTGATCTTGCCCAGCTATCCGAGCAACCCGCGAGTGCAGGTGCAACGATGCATTGGCCAGCTGAATCGCCCCCTGGGCCAGCTGCCAGTTGCCTCCGCGCACCTTCCACAGCTCGCTGCCTGTACCGCACAGCCCCACTGCTCCGGGCAGCCCTGACATTGTTGCGTTCTGCCCGTACTGCACTCGAGTGATCATCTGGTGGGCGGGCACATGGTGCGGAGAGAGAGGGGGAGAGTGGTGGTAGTGGTGGTGTAATGGTGGAGGTGAGGATATGACACAGTAGCAACTGATATCATTCAGTGATGCTGGTCGAGTCCATATCACACCACGCCCATTCGTAAAGCACTATACCATACCATACCGTACCACACCACGCCACACCGCACCACACTCACCGTGACAAGCTCGTTAATCAGAACAGCCGGCAGCCCTCGGTCCAGCAGCGCATCAGTGAGCGTCACCCTTGTAAGCTCCAGCAGCCCCAGCGACCGCAGCAAGTCCTCGGGCCTCTCAAACGCCCCCCCGCCCTCCTTGTCCTCCTCGTACAGCCGCATCCACCGCTGTAGCATGTCCCCCACGAACGCGCGCATGGCCCTCAGCCCTGCGAGAGTGTATCTGGCGACCATGCGTGCCGCATTCACCCACTCCGCCACCCATTTCGCCACCGAGCCCTCGCCGAGTTTCCACTCCTGAAAGACGAACCCTCCCCCGCTGCAGCTAGCCTCGCTGCTTGCCCCGCTGCTGCTAGCACCTCCCCCGCTGCCCCCGCTCCTGCTGCTGTCCATGCCATTGGCGCCGGCGCTGCTGCTGCTGCAGTGGCCGCCCCAGATGCCGAAGTCCATGTCAGTTGGGGGCGCAGTTTCCAGCCGCAGTTGCTGCGCCAGGCGCACCAGGTGCAGGTTCTTTCCGTGGATGATGCTCGCACCAGCTTCCACCTCCACCACATCCCCCTCCGCGCGTTCCCCCTCCGCCTTCACCCCTCCGCCCGGCACCTTCAGCAGCAGCATTCGCCCGCCCACTCTTCCCGCGCGCTCAAACACGTGAATGTCAAGCTCGGGGAGGGGGGAAAGCTGAGCGGCGGAGGCAGACGAGGGGGAGGAAGGTGAGGCGGGCGCAGCGGAAGCGAGCGCGCGAGAGACATTGCGGAGAAATAACGCGGCGGAGGCGCCGCCCATCCCGGCGCCCACGATGCACACCTTGAACGGGCTGCTCGGTACCGGCGGCGGCGTCGACGGAGATGGCGACGTGGCGGTGGTGGAGACGACGAGAACGAGCGACGCGAGGAGACACGGGAGAAGGGTCACGAGGAAAAGGGGGCGCCAGGCCCGCCATGGCTGCTGCCGCAAGGGAGCGCGAGCGGACGGGCGGGGCATGTCGGACGAACAGCAGTTTTGACTCGGATGAGGGCGAAATGTGTAGAGACCTTAGCTGTCCAGAGGCGGAACCTAGGAAATTCAAGAATCTCTATCTGTTATAGACGACCAGGATACTGGTACAGCAGCACAGTTCGCCTTCTCGGAAAAGTGTAGATAGCCGCTATGCTGGTTGTGACATGAAACCCACTATGAGTAAAGGTCCTTCCACACAACCCCACACAACACAACCCCTGTATGAAAATTTGTCCAACCCCATTTTGGCCTGAAGTGATCAAATGTGGTCCGTAATATCAACTTATACATATGATGTATGTAGAAGTTATAGGCTAGCCTAGGTGTGTGCTTCTAGTGAGTACAACCCCAACAGATATATGTTTTAGGTTTCTCACACTAGTCAACTATTCTTGCATTCTAACATGGTATCACGCGTAGGTTAGGTCCCTCCGCCCGCTTCCGCCTGCGCCCTAACCTACCCCCCCCCCCCCCCCCCTAGACCACGCGCTCGTCCCGCCCGTAGCGCCCGCCCGGCCCCGTCGTGCCACCCAGGCCCCTAGTGCCCACCCGCCCCTTATGCACCCGCCTGGCCCCGTCGCGCCCGCCTGGCTCCGCCCGCCCCGTCGTGCCCGCCAGGCCCCTCCGCGCCACCCTGGCCCCTAGCGCCCGCCCGGCCCGTAGAACCCACCTGGCGTCGTCGCGCCCGCCTGGCCCCTCCGCGCCACCCTAGCCTCTCTTGCCCGCCCGGCCCGTCGCACCCGCCTGGCACTGTCGCGCCCGCCTGGCCCCGTCGCGCTACCCTGGCCCCTAGCGCCCGCCCGGCCCCTTCTAGCGCCCGCCCGGCCCCTCCTAGCGCCCGCCCGGCCCCTCCTAGCGCCTGCCCGCCCCCTCCTAGCGCCCGCCCGGCCAGTTGCGCCCGCCCGGCCCCGTCCTAACGCCTACCCGGCCCCTCCTAGCGCTCGTCTGGCCCGTCCTAGCGCCCGCCCGGCCCCTCCTAGCACCTGCTCGCCCGGCCCCTCCTAGCGCCCGCCTGGCCCCCCTCCTAGCGCTCGCCCGGCCCCTCCTAGCGCTGCTTGGCCCCACCCCGCGCCCGCCCGGCCCCTCTTAGCGCCCGCCCGGCCGGCCCCTCCTAGCGCCTGCCTGCTCGCCTGGCCCCTCCTAGCGCCCGCACGGCCCCTCCTAGCGCTCGCCCGGCCCCTCCTAGCACTGCCTGGCCCCACCCCGCGCCCGCCCGGGCCCTCCTAGCGCCCGCCCGGCCGGTCCCTCCTAGCGCCTGCCTGCTCGCCCAACCCCTCTTAGCGTCCGCCCGGCTCTCCTAGCGCTACCTGGGCCCACCTAGCGCCCGCCCGGCCCTTCCCAGCATCTACCCGGCCCCTCCTAACGCCAGGCCGGCCCCGACATGCTCTCCCGGCTCCTACGGCCCCGTGTCTTTTGTTCGGCACGTTTTCTCGACTCCCCGGCCCTGTGTCTTCTGCGTGCCCGTGCCAGAGTGTCCTCCTGGAGCAGTGCTGCTGTGTCCCGGTGCCGCAGTGTCCTATGGAGCTGTGCCACTGTGTCCCTGTGTCGCTGACCCTGCACGATGGCTGTCTTCGTCCTCCGACAGGACGCTGAGGGCCACGCTGTTGACTTCGCCGCTTGGTTGTCCGACCTCCGCCGTCAACTCACAGGTCAGCGCCAGGATGGCCACTCCTTGGTTGTCCATGCTGATGGCTTGCTCCCTCGCCCCCCTGAGCCTGCTCCCCTCCCTGCTGAACCCACCTCTGTTGAGCGTGAGACTGTCTCTACTGCTGCACTTGCCTATGCTGTCTGGGACTCTCGCGATGCAGTTGCTCAGGTTGCTATCAGTCACGCCCTTCCTGTGTCTGAGCGTTCGCGTTTCGCTACAATTGATACAGCCAAGGCTTACCTAGATGCTGTTGTTGCTCGCTATTCCACACCTGCCTCTGCTACTACAACCCGCTTGCTCTTCCCTATGCTTTTCCCAGACCTTGCTTCCTTCCCTACTGTTGCTGACGTCGCCACTCACCTGCGCACCCTAGAGTCTCGCTACCGCACTGCTAGCACTACTGCACAGCTCACTGCGCTTCCCCCCCCCCTTCTGCATGACCCTCTACTATATCGCTATGCGCCTGCCTGACCGCCTTGCTAGTGCACGCGACCACATCCTTAGCCAGCACCCTAGTGATCTCACCCTGACAGCCTTTGTCACCGCCCTGACCGAGTTCGAGACTCGCCAGCGCACTATCGCTCAATCGAGCGGTGCGCCGGCAGTCTCTATCTTTTACGGCTGTGCCCCCTCCCAGTGCACGTTTACTGACGTTTCGGCTGCGGTCGCCACTTCGACCCCTCTGACCGAGACTACAGCTGCGGTCCACCTGCAGCAGCGCCCGCGCCGCGCTGGCCGCAGCCTCCAGGGAGGGCGTGGTGGTGGAGCTGCTGGTGGTGGTGGTGCCGGGGACAGTGGTTCTACTGAGGGGACTGCCACAGCTAGTCAAGAGTAACAGCCGTCGCCCCAGCAGTAGGAGCAGCCGCAACAGCCGTCGTAGTCGTCGCAGCAGCTGTCTCAGCCCCCGTCGTGGGCTCGTCTCCCGCCGGGTTGGCCCAGCACCTCCGTAGGTGGTGGCCGTGGTGGCGGCCCGCGCTGCTTGGCGTCTACCGGCAGCTAAGTTGGTCTGACCTGCCAGTACCAGCTTCAGAACGGGCCTTTCCGCGGCACTCAGTGCCGCCGCCCGCACCCGACAGCCCGCTGCTTCCGCCGCCTCGACGATCTCTTCCGTCGTCGCTTTGGCCTGGCCCCTGACCTCCCCGACTGGCACAGCCTGCTTCGCCAGGGCGTGCCGATCTTTGAGTTAGATATGGATCAGATAGGTGCTGCTTTGCATGCCTTGTATGCTGACGCTTCTAGTGTTGCTGGATCTTATTACCCGGTGTACTCTAGTTTAGGTGTAGCACCCTTGTGTAGCTTAGCCTCCCCTGCTGCATCAGGCGTAGGACTGCCTAGTTTGACTAGCCTCGTTCCGGCACCGCCCCCGTTCCCAGCCTCTGCTACTGCCTCGCTGTCCTTCACTCTCGACTCCGGTGCTTCTGCCTGTTTCTTCCGCGACCGCTCCACGCTCACGCCGCTTGCTGCGCCTGCTGTTGCCGCTCTCGCTGACCCCTCTGCGGGTCCTGTCATCGCTCGCAGCTCTACTTCCCTTCCCTGTCCAGCCGTTCCCTCGGGCTCTCTTAAAGGCCTTCACGTTCCCTTGTTCTCCAAGAACCTGGTTGGTGTTGGTTGTCCTCAGGTTCTCGGCGTCACCACTACGTTTCCTGGGCACCGATCTCGAGCGGTTCGCTGTCTGTACCGAGCCCTGTCTCAGGTTCCCCCCTTGCGACGTTCCCCCGGGACCCGGTGTCTGGTCTGTTTACCCTAGACACCGCTCCCCCCCCCGGTTGGTGCGTCCTCCCAAGTCGCTGCTGCTTGCTCGTGTCGGTCCCTCACTCACCTGTCTCCTTTGTGGCACCACCGCTTAGGTCACCCTGCTCTCCCGTGTCTGCGTCACATGTCTGAGCACGGTCTTGTCTTCGGCCTCCCCCTCGACTGCGCCACCGTGCACGCCTTGCATCGAGGGCCGGCTCCGCCGTGCCCCTCACTCCTCCTCGCTCCGCCCTGCTACTGCTCCCCTTCAGACCCTGCACCTGGACGTTTGGGGCCCAGCCCCCGTCCCCGGACCGCGCGGTGAGCACTACTTTCTTGTGCTTGTCGATGACTACACGCGCTACACCACGGTGTTTCCCCTAGAGCGGAAGGCCGACGTGCCTGACGTTCTTCTATCGTGGGTTGTGGCTGCGCGTCTTCACCGCGGTCTCCCCGTGTTGTGTCTCCTCTGGTCGGCTTGGACAGTTCTGTCGTGCGGAGGGCATCACCTAGTCATACACCTTGCCGGACTCACCCCAGTAGAATGGGGTTGTTGAGCGCCTCATCGGCTTGGTCATGGAGGTTGCTCGCACCTCCATGATTAATGCCGATGCCCCCCATTTTCTGTGGCCGTTCGCTGTTCGCTACGCTGCTCACCAGCTTAACTTGTGGCCCCGCTCCCAGCGGCCGCAGGTTTCGCCGACCCTCCTTTGGACCAGGTCCCCCGGTGACGCATCTGCGTTCCACGTTTGGGGTTTCCTTGCTCACGTTCGTGCCTCTGGCACGGACAAGCTCACTGCCCGCACTGTCCCCTGTGTCTTCCTCGGTTTCCCCTTGGACTCGTTTAACTGGCTCTTCTACCACCCGCCGTCTCACCGCTTCCTACACTCTCGTGACGTCACCTTTGACGAGTCTGTCTCCTTCTACCGTCGCTTCCCTCACCGAGGTCTCCCGGTTTCCTCCCCCCTGTTCCTTGCTCCCTTTCCCCCGGTAGCCCCTTCTCCCCTCCCGCCTCTTCCTGCCCCGTCTGGTGTCTCTCAGGTCACTCCCCTCACGTCGGTTGTCCTCGTTGAGGAGTCTGCTGACTCTGGTGGTCCCCTCGGCCCGTCCTTGCCGCGTCCCCCTTCCCCAGTGTCTCCGCCCCCCCTGTCACGGTTGCAGCAACCGCTGCCGCCGCTGCCGCGCTTGGCCTCTTGGGGTGCTGGCTTTGAGGAGGGTGTTCGTCCTGCGGCTCCTGGCGTGGTCTATACCGGCGGGACTGGGGGTGCCGCTGGTGCTGGAGGGGGTTCTCGCTCTGAGGGTGTTGGTTCTGGGGGTGCTGCCGTTGAGTGTTCTCCCGGCGATCGTCGTGCCCCTGCCGGTCCGCGGGTCGAGCACCAGTCGCAGCAGCAGCCGCCGCAGCCGTTGCCGCCGATCTCCGCTCTTCTTCTGCTCGGCCTTCCCTACCCTTAACGCTCGCCGGTGTCTCCCCCACCACCTTCTCACCTTTCTGTCTACGGCCCTGTGTTCCTGCCGCAGGACTCGTCTCCGGCCCGTCTTCCGCCGCGTTCCTCTTTCGTGTCTCCTCCGCTGTCTCCTGACCCTACACCTCCGTCCCACGTCTGGTCTCGCCGTCCCTCCCGTGCTCGTCCCGTCTCTCCTGTCCCACGGTCCCACCCTATG